GCGCCGGGGAGCGCTCAGGAGCTCTCTACTCCTCCGCAGACCAGGTTGAGCAGAGCGCAATTCGCGGGGCAACGCTGGAAAAGAACCCTGCGACTCCTTATTGAGCGATTTAGGCTCCTGACAGCTGGTCTCTTTGGCCTCCTTGCCATTCAACTTTCCCTCGTCCTCGGAGTCAGACGACTCCGAGGCTAGAGCCCCGTCCTCCTCCTTAGCATCCTTGTTCCCCTTGACGGACCCCTCTCGGGAGCTCCCTGACTGGGCCTGCTCAGATACCCTGCGTACTTTTGTAAGCTCTTGAGAGCTTTCTCCACAACCACCCTCGCTCTTAGTGTTGCTACCTAACATGTTTCCCATCTTTTAATATGTTACTCACCGCGTGAGGCCCAAGGAATCCGCCACTTACGCGTGAGCCTGAGGGGAGTCTAAAAGCCCTGTAGGTGCGCGCCACCCAGAGCCCAGGCTTATCCCCAACTCACCTGTCTCGCAGCTCTGTACTGGAGCGTTGTCCACTTCCACGTCTCGGGGGTGATCAGTCCCCGGGCGGGCCTCCAAATGTCGATGTCCGCTCCCGGCCGGCAGGAAGGACACACGACAAAGTCTGGTAGTGGACAACCTTTTCTTTTTATTTTCCTTCTCCGTACAGCCTGCCCTGGGTTCTCCCAGCTGAAGCGGGAGAACCCCTTCTCTGGGTTCGCTCCCCGTGGCTCCTTTTGTGCTTCAGTCTGCCCCAAAGCCTCTACCGGTCCGCTCTCCGCGGCTCCTTTTGGGCTTTTACTTCTGGGCTTCTACCTGGCTTCTTCTTCCGCCCAGGGGTGGCACCGGTATATATACGGGTACAGTGTCCAATCATGTTAAAGTAAGCAAGGCAAGCTGATTGGCTAACATCATCAGTTGCCAGGCAGACTATATTGTTGAGCGGGTTGTTTACGCGGTAAGCAGGAAACTAACATATTCGATGGGAGGGGTAATCTACCTCAGGCTTTGCTCTTTACCACAGGCCGCACGTCCGCCGCGCAAGGCGAGCTATCACAGACGCGGCTCCCAACACTGATGCATTGTGGAGAGTTTCTTTTCTTGTCTTGTCTATTTGGGGTTCTAAATGTCTCACTGACCTAGGTATCCCTCTCATTTGCAAGCTAGGGGAAATTTTCTGCAATACTTCTGGTGAATAAATTTTTATACCATTGGTCCCTGCCTCTACCCCTTCATCAAGATCTATGATTCTTAAATTTATTCTTTTGGAGTCATCTAGGAGTTCTTAGATCACTTACTTATTTTGCTTGCCTTAACTGTTTTGTCAGTATTACTGAGTAAATATTCTATTCCATTAATGTTGTCCTCATATCTAGATATTTTGTGTACTTTCTGATTTTGCTAGCTGCAAAACTTTCAATTAAGCCTTTCATTTCCGAGATTTCTTCTTTTTACAGTCTCTGATTGTTTACCGAAGTGTTCTTTCATATTCTACACTATCTTCCTTAATTCACTCACCTACCTATTTGTATGTTTTTATTTATTTATTTATTTATTTATTTATTTATTTATTTTTGGGATCAAAAACAACCTCGCACTTGCTAAGTAGGCACTTGCGCTGATGAGTTATATCCCAGGCTCTGTTATCTGTTTTAAATTCATTGATCATTTTAGTGATTTGTTCATTCATCTGCTTAGTTATGTCTTCTTTATGTTTGTTAATTATCTTAGTAGTTGGTTCATTGAGCTGCTTATTTGTCTTTTGTTGGATCTCTTGGATCATTTTCATTATTTCTTGGTTGTCTGGAAACACATCCACTTTAGCGTCTGTAACATCCATTTGGGGGAGTTAGAAATTTTCCAAGGCATTTTGTTGTATTATGGCTTATTTCCACGTGTCCTTTCTGCTCTCTTAGATAGGCTTTAGAAGGGTGGTTGAATCTTGGGGCTATATACTTAAATGTGATATTAGGAGGTTTGGTCTAGTTGAAAGAGGCAGGCCCTGATAGACTTTATCTCCTTCCCTGCTTTCTCTCTCTCTCTCTCTCTCTCTCTCTCTCTCTCTCTCTCTCTGTCTCTCTCTCTCTCTCTCTCATCTCTCATCTCTGATCTCTGTCCAGGGTCCCAGACTGTGTCCCTGCCTCAGCCTCCATGACAAGCTCCTCCCTTTCCTTTTTTCTCTCCCTGGCATGTTCAGCTCCCATCTATGGTGACCCCTTCCAGTTCTAGAGCACTGTCTCCACTCTTCCCTGGAGCAGCAATCTCAGCAACTCCTGGAGCCGTAAATGCTTCCACCTTGCTTGATGCTGTGGGGAGGAGGAGCAGAGGTAGACTTGTTGCCTGAGCCATGACTACCCAAGCTGTCACTCGCTGTGCCCAACATTTTGCCATTTTTGTCTCTGCCTCAGTCTCCTGTTTCTCTGTCTGCATCACAGGTGCCTCAGTGCGCTGTGGTATGGAAATACAAGCTTGAGTCTGGGCTGTCTGGCTCAGCAGTCACAGCTTCTGGCTCTGCCTAAGTCCTTCATGGTGTTCTCATGCTTGAGATCCTCGCAGAGCCCAGAACTAAGGCTACTCTCCATTGCACAAACACCTGTCTCCAGGTCATTCCTGCATCCCAGCAGGAATGCTGCTGGGACCTGCCTGCACTGGGGCTGGTGGTGGCAAGGGTGAGCCCAAGCTGGCCTCCACTTCCCTGACGTGATCTCCGGACCCACACTGCCAGCAGTGCTCAATTAGGATCGGCACTTTTGCTTCTTATTCTAGCTTCTCCTACTTCTGATTTCACCTGTTTGCTGTCTTGTCCAGGTAAATTCCTGTGGGAGGGGGTCATTACTTCCCTGTTCAGCCATGCAGCCACTAACCTCAGTCAGTACCTCTGAGCAAACAAGAGTGAAGTTTCTTCTAGACTTCCATGATGGAATCTAATCAGAATGTTCATTCTCAAGGGGAAGTCCGAAAGAGCTCGCCTTTGCCTTCCCTTTGCTATTATCCTGTTTGTTCATTTTCAAGTAAAGTTCAGTGATTCACAAATATCATTATGTATCAGGACCAGCCCAGCAGCTTGTTAACCTAGAGTCTCAAAATATATGAAGATAATGAGTCTATGATGGATCCAGAAATCTATATGCTTAACAAACATCACAGGTGATTTTGATGCTGATGATACAGTTTTTGAAAATGATGTGTGTGAGTTCATTTGCCCTTTGAAGAATAGAGGTGTGGAGAGAAGAAGCATAATGGCTTGAAAATGAATGTCTTGCATAGGAAATTAAAAACCAGAAAGAATTTACAAGTGACACTGAGTGCCAACGAGCTGAAGTTCAACATCGTGGGCCACTTCTGCTACCTTCTAGAAGGATTTGTCAGTAGCAGGTTTGATCTTATTTTGCAGTTGGTCTAAAATCTGACATTAAGGAAGCTTCTGAAATTGATCGCTATTTCAGGGGCAAGTAGAATCCCTCCAAGAATATTCTAATTGTATCTCTAGCTACTGCAACAGACATAGAAAAACATTTACAGTATTTTTCACATACCTCACAGCACTGTGCAGTGCCTGACATCTCCCGCAGACATTTCTGAGATGAATTAACTAGAACACAAACAGATGGTGGGGTCAGGTCAAAGAGCAGGCTGCAGCAGCACCAGAGAGGAAAGTTCATGGCCAGCCCCTCTTCCACTCAAATGTATAATTGTTCTTGCTCAGTTTTTGTAAAGCAAACACAGAAGGTAAAAACTAAAAATGATTTGTTCCAGTGGTCCTTATTTTGATTAGCAGATCCAAAATTTATGAGAATTTTAATTCCCTCAAAATCAATCGCACAAGCACATAACTTTATTTGCAACAATTTTGGGTATTTCATTGATGGCCTGAGGCTATTCTATAGAGCCACGGACACAACTAAGAACTTAAAGAGAATATAGACATAGGAAACTGTTGATTTTCACTGGAGTAGTGGTATTTAATCTTTGTCCCTTACATATATCATTTACATAGTATTAACACAGAAACAATCTGAGAGGGCTGGGGATTTAGCTCAGCACCATAAGCACCTGCCTGGCAAGTGCAAGGTCATGAGTTCAGTGCCTGGTACAAAAAAAAAAAAAAAAAAAAAAGAAGGAAGACAAGAAACAACTGAGGTTTGATTTTTGTACTTAATCTTCATCTCATTCTACAGCTTAGAATGTAACCTGTCATAGAATCATCAATATTATTGTCCTAAATCCCTAAGTATAAACAGGTGCTCATACCTAACACTGGTTCTATTATTTTTAAGTTGCATATACTACTTCAATGTTATAGCTAAAATTAGAGAAAAAAAATATATATATATATATACTAGAGATAAACCCTTGTTTAAATAATTTTTACAAAGGTAGCCCTTTCTATTTTCATTACTTTTTTCTTGTGCCCCTGTTCCTGTTTTTACGCCTGTCTTGCTTTTCTTTACTTGATCTATTTTTGGTATGCACACCTGTGAAGAATTTGCCCCTGATGAAGAGGTAATTTTCAACTAAACAGTTTCTCAATAATGTTATTTTATGTGTGATGAATTGCATTTTAGCTTAATTTGTATCTTGTTTCTAATTTTATGTAATTCATGTTTTCTTTCATCTTTCTCATAATTCTGTCAATACTGGGTACCTTAAAACTCTTGTGGTATTAAATTTGAATAGTTTTGAAAGAGCTAATAATAAAAAATTTAGATCAGGAAAGAGTTCCTGCACAACTATTGTTTTAAATATCTATTTTAGATTTAATTTATTATAAAAGTCGTATCACTGCAATTACTGACCAGGCATATTGGAAAGATTGTGAAATCCTTAAAGTAGGCTCAACTCTTGTTTAAAACCAGGTCTCCCTCCTTCTCTTGAGTAGTCTGAAGACACTGCAGTTGGTTTAGACATTTTTCAGTTTAAATGGTATTTTTCCTGGAAAAATTTGTCTCTGCCACCAAGAAGTACTTCAATTGCTTGAGTTGCATCAAATAATTTATTCATGTGTCTCCATTTTTACTTGTTCACAGAGTCGTAAGTTATGAAAACATCAACAAAAATGACTACTACACTATTAGCCAAAAGGCAGTGACACACATTCACAATAATGACATTGAATATATCGAGATTGATCGATGGGAACAAGAATATCTGTATCACAGGGAACTTACTAAGATCCCCATATTTTCACTTTTCCGGAAATGGAAGGCTTTTACAGTGTGGAAGAAGAATGTCCGCTCCAAGAAAATCACTGCGTGTCGAAATTCTCTACAAAAAAATTTGTTCATTGTTAATGCCGTATGTATTTACTCTTCATATTTTAAAAGAAGTCCTGTCAAAGCAAGTGTGGTTTTATTACAGTATTTGTACAAACTGTCCCTGAAATAGGATTTTTTGAAAGAATTCAAAAATTTTGTCCTGTCTTGTCACTTAGGAATCTGCCAGTGTAGTGGAGTCTCCTCTTTTTCACCTAGGGTCGCAAATCTTGCACAGATTTCCTTTAACTAGAAGCAAACTAAGGGCCTGGTTTTTGTGATCTCCTTTGTTGTTGGTCACTTTTAAACACACCCAATGGCCACCCTATTACCTCTTCTCTCATCTTCGAGACACGCAGGCCATTATGGTCCAAAATAATGTGGGATGTGTTTTCATCAACCAGCAAAGGTATCATATGTGTTCCTTTGCCATGGATTCAGACAGTAGAGAAGATATTTATATATATGTTAGATGCTGGGGCAATTATAGGAAATGAAAAGTTAAAAGGATGCCTGGCTGTATTCACTGAGTTTCAACTAGCATTAAAAGATTTCTCCTTGGTTTCTTGCAAGGAACTGAAATTATCATTACTGCCATGCTCAAAGAACTGTGTCTTCAGCTGTCTATTTCTATGACACTGAGTCACAACCTTCCAGATCTAAAGCCTCAAATTTACTATTTACTAGTCATTTCCTTCACGTTGCTATGGTAATCTGAAAGTTTTTTATCAACATGTCAGTTATAAAACAAAAGAACGTTCATGAACGATGGTAAACATCGGTATTAGTGCCAGACAAATATGTAAGATGTACCATCTCAGATCATCCACACCACTGAGCCTTCTGAGCTGTGAAAAAATAACACATGTCCTTCTGAACATCAGACTCAACCCCGAGGCCTCTCCTTTTATAACTGATCCATCAGTTATCTGAAACCATTTTGCCATATTTCATATTTTACCATGTCTTATTATCATTAGTTGTTACTAAATATGCAAAAATAGTGACCAGTTCTTATAGATGAGGTTGAAGGAATAAACAATGGAATTGTTTGAAATTTTGTTCTTAAAACAGCCGACTTATCCCTACATTTTCTTAAAACAACTTTGTGGACATATAATTTGTGTGCTACATAATTTACCATGTAAAATGTAAAATTCAATGATTTCATTGTATTCATGGATTTGATCAATAATCACTACAGTCATTTTTAGAACATATTCCAAAAAGAAACTCCAATACTGATTAATGTTTATTCTGTGTTGCTCCTCAACTCTCTTTTATCTTCCCCCAGTTATAAGCAACCAGTAATCTACATTCTGTCTCTGAATAGGTTTGCCTATTCTGTACATTTCATACAATGAAACTACATAATATTTGGACCCTTGATGACTTTTTTTAAAGCTAACATGATGCTTTCATTTTTTATGTTGTAAAAATAGTCCATCTTTTTACTGGCAAATTGCCTTCTTTTATATAGTTTTATATTTTTATTTCTCCATTTGTAGATATTTGGGTTGCTTACACTTTTTGACAATTATGAGTAATATTGTCAGGTAATTCATGTACAAGTGTCAGTAATTGCCACAATTGTCAGTAATTCATGTACAAGTTTTTGTCTGAACATGTTTTCACTTGTCTTGGGCATATCCCTTGGAACTGAATTGCCAGATCATAAGTAACTATGTTTAGCTTTTTGAAGAAATACGCAACAGCTTTTCAAAAGAACTTGTTACCTGCTGAAAATTTAAAGTCAAATTTAGCTTTGTTCTGTGTTATAGCCTCTTAGATTGACAGATGATCCCACCTATTATCATTATGACTGGATAATTAAAGTCTTTAGGGTAATACAAAGAATCTTGTAATCACCATTAGTCAAAACTAATGAAACTTAAGATATTGACCAGTTTTCTATTTCATACCCTCATTTTCATCCATTAAATAACTAACAGGTATGCATGTGTTTTCAAAATGAAATAAGAGGAATTTAGATGAATTAAATCTGGCAATTTGAAGAATGCTTTAGAAAAAAGCTTCAGAAGAATTCTACTTAATGTATACATTGTTCGTTTGACTCTTTAACATATTTGTTCCCCGTAACCATTTTTGCTTCCCACATGTTTTATACTTTTAAAATAAAAGATTTTTAACTAAATAATGATAAATTCTTATTTTCATTCAGTATTTACGACCAGCTCTTCTTAAAATAAATGAACTGTGTTATCAAATCAGCTTCATGGGACTTTGTTGTATTGAAAAATGTCACACCTACACCCTGCAGGAATTTAAGGCTGCACAAGTCATACGTCTAGAGGAGGTAAGGAATTTTGTCTGTAATGATGAAGATTATTTTCCTCTTCCTGACACGCTGGTATCACTAATTATACATATTTTTCAATGTCTAGGTGACAGCGCTCCTAGAAGAATTTCGAAGTATGGCCAAAGATGTGGTCAGAAAGGCTTGTCGACTTGCTTTGCGTGCTGTGGGATTTGTTCCTGATGACTGTGCTTTGGAACCTGTGGAGAATATGAAAGGCAGAGTACCTAGATATATCAGAAGTAGCAATTTTCTAAAATATCAGCTATTTTTTATTCTATTTTTCTTGGGTTTAAATAACTATTCTCCTTTTCAATTGTTCCACACTTCTGCTTGATAAATTATAAATTCAGTGTATCTTGTGGTAGGAAAACCCTGTAAATGTTGCATTTTCCTTGCATTCCTCCTACTTGTGGAGAATATTCCTAAACTGCCCACAGGATCTTAATTTATAGACATTCTGTAGTGGGCTCTGGGTGTGCCTGCTTAAAAATACATCAAACTACTAGTGCAGATGATAGGCTGTTAAAATTAAGGGACTGAATGATGCTCAGGTCTGCCTGGGTGGTACGGACTCTGAAAGATGACACAAATGCCAGAGGAAGGAGGATGGCGGTGTTCCTAGGAAAGAGATGGCACGATCTACAGTTCACTTCCCTTTAACAAGAATATCAGTGGACTGAATGACTGTGGTCTTCTCTTGAGCTGAAATCCATTAATGTGAAATGCATGAAATTTTGAAATGCTTCACAAACCAAAGAATTCTGTTATTTTTTGTATTTGTTTTGTTGTTTTGTTTGAGTTTATATTGAAAGAAGTGGAATTTTACCCCAGGATTCTTATTGTGCTTCTGTCGTTTTTAGATTTTGATAGACCAATGAACCTTGAAATGCCATTTGAGGCACCCTCTCATGGAGACTCCGAAAAAATGACCTACACAGAACAAGCCAGCAAGAGGCACCACTGCATAAGGCTGACATGGTAAATGATTACTCTTTCTTTCAAGAAAAATTAGAGCATCTGCCTTTTTTACTCTCATTCAAAGTTAAAAGCTGCAAGGTGAGGGATATGTACATTTGCATGACCAGAGTAATTATTACTGTTCATGTCCAAACATCATGAGGATAGCTTAAATTCATAAAATAAAACCAATAATTCTTTCTAGAAATGTCTCATTAAAAAAAAAAAATCAAGCCCTTCACTACAGGGTCCACTAATAGTGATGAGAATTTGGTGGTATGGTGACCTGAATCCCACCCACCAACCACTACCCACAAAGCAGCTGCGAGTACAGGCAGGCTAGAAGAGACTGAAGGATAATTTCAAGACCAAAAGCTCCTCGTTAAGCACTAAGGCTTTGTTTCCTTCTGGCTCAGGCTGGAGCATGCAGACCCGCAACAAGGTAGGCTGTGCTAAGAGGAAGCCAGGGACACAGAAACCTGTGGACCTCCTTGAGCTGACAGGGAGAGTGTCACCCTTTTGATCACAAGAGAACTACAGTCAGGTGCGAAGTCGCCCCCACCCAGGACTGGAAGCCAGGAGACTCTCAGCAGAAATAACTGTGTCTCCTGTTTATCCAACTGGGTACTGATGTTGACTATCAGAGTTTGGATTTTCCATCATTCTAAAGCCTCATGATGACAGATAACTCTTGCAAAGATCACCAAATGTGATCTGGAAAACTGTCCATGAAACTATAAAGTATCAGGTATTGTTATTCAGTGCTCACTTACTTAATCCACCAATCAAAAACATCTATTCAGTAAATCTTAATCATGTACTAGTTTATATGAAATGTCTGTGTAGTTTGTAAAAATTGTGCAAGACCATCATCAGGACCAAAGATGGGGTGGAGACCCCAAGCACCATGTGAACAAAAGAAAAAATTATCCCAAATGTTTTTTCTTGTCTGTGTCTGCATTCTAATCACTCAAGGAAGTATAAAATTCAAACCTTTGGATTAAAAATTTCTATTGAACAACACTTATTCCATAGCAAAAATTTCATACTCATACCATTAGAATGCAAGTTACCGTTCGAATGCTAGATGTTGTATGCATAGAATGCTCTGTAAAGCACCTTTTAAAAAATCTAATGGCCCTTGACAAGATGAGCTATATGCATGTCCTTAACATTTGTATTGCTCAGCATGTAGCCTATCGAAGAGTTAGAACATCTAAGAAGATTAATGTAGCATAGTTGAGTGTATTTTGTGCTTAAAAGAGAAGAACATCTCTAAGAACAAGTCTTCTGCACAACAAATCTGTGATGTTATAATGTAATCTGATCAAAAAGCAAGGAGAAATGATACAAGGCTAATTTACTTTAGAGTCACTGCCAGAAAATAGTATAGAAAGCTGAAGCAGTATTTACCTTCTCTTTTCAAGCTTTATTCGTCTAAATGACTATCTAATTGAGAACACCCTGCATGTCGTAACGGTGAATTCTGCTAACTCTCTTTTGAATTACCTCACTGACAAAATCAAGCGGACACCTTCAGCAGATGTCATTCAGAAATGGATTACTGAAGAGAAGCCTGAAGCCACTGACAAAAAGGTATATTCTGATGAAATTAAAATTCACCAGTCAACATATATTGAGCAGAGCTTATTATGAATTATCTGTGTATGGAAGAAATAGAGACATTTTATTTAAATATATTTTTGTTGAACTATTATTATGTTATTAGTATTATTTCTACTAAGTATATCAACTCCATTTCTATTTAAATATTATCAACTTCATCTGCCTCAAGCATGCTTAGTGTATTTTCCCAGCTTACTGTTTGCCTTCCCATTTTCCTGACAGTACTTTTACGAGGAAAGACAATTTACATTGCTGTGTGATCTCTCAGTATTTGCATTTTTTCTTGCTAGAGAATTATTCTCTGATAGACTTTCTGCATGCTGAGATTATCAGCCAATTGTATAAACTTAAGTGGATATGTCTTTGTTTATCTGTTTTGTTTTCTATCTTGGCACTAGTGTCTTTATAACACTGCAAATGTGCTATTTCAGGGGTCTCCCGTGGTGGAAAAGCAGGAAGAAGATGAATCTCTCATCCCCATGTTTCTCACAGAACTGATTCTGACAGTCCAGTCCCTACTCTTCGAGCCTTCTCTGGAAGACTTCCTGGTGTGTGTTTCTTCATGTAATATTCATGTGACCACTTTACTATCAGATGATTGGCAGGATTGCAGTTGTCCAAAAGGATCATGGGAAAGAGAGAAAACACTGTTCTCTCATGTCATTATCTCGTATACAAACTATATGAAAGATAAAACATTATATTTAAATTGAGGCACATCAGGGCCTGGATAAAGATATACCGTGCACAAACTTTAGAATTGACTCCAGGTGTCTTGCCAAGGGGAGTCCAAGAAATCACTGTTGTAGACGTTAATTTTTTGTCTTTTTTGAGATAGGGTTTCACTATGCAGTTCAAGCTGGCCTTAAGCTTATTTTGTAGCCCACACCAGCCCCAAACTAGCAGTGAGCCTTTTGCCTCAGCCTCTTGAGTGCTGGGATTTACAGGCATGCGCCACCATGCCCAGTGAAAGGTAGACATCATTTTTGACATCTTTTTAATAGCACACTGAATCTGAGAGAATTTTGTTGTTTCGGTTACTTATGGCTCTTACAATACTTAGCAGCTTAGAACAGTAAGCATTCCCTGGCTGAGTTACTCTAGGTCAGGGTCAGGCTTGCTGCTTAGCTTATTCGCTACTTCACAGCCTCCCCAGGCGTCAGCTGGACATGTCTTATGCCAGACTTGACCAGAAAGGATCCACTGCTGAGTTCCCTCAGACTGTCAATGGAAGACGGGTCTGTGGACCTAAGAACTGGTATCTCTCTTTTCTTGAGGGTGTCGACCAGAGATGATCCTTAGGTCCTAGACTCCCCCATGGTCCCTTATCATGTGGCCTGCTCTCTAAGCAGTTTAAAACATGGCTATTGCATCTTCAAAGGCCACTGGAGGGTTTCCTTTAGGAAGCATCCAATCCTTTTATGGACAGTTTTCCCTTGATCGAGTCAGGGCTACTCAGAGTAATCACCTTTTGAATTAACGCAGAGTCAACTGATTTGGCACCTTCTTTCTACATGCAGAATCCTTCCTCCTTTGCCACACAATGTAACCTCATCACAGCAATGACATCCCATCGCTTTCATAGGTCCCATCCACACTCAGCAGCAGGGGATTGTAATGGTGTGCATAAAGGGGACAGGAATCTTGGGATTCCTTATTATTTTGCCTACCACAAGGGTTTACATGCATAGATTAGTAAGTCAGAGTCTTTATTTTGTTTCTAGCTAGTACAATTTGGCACAAGACCAAAATGAGGATCTCTAGATTTCAGTCTTGTCTTTATAGTTAATAAGCTATTTGGTCAGGGAGGAGACCACTTATGTCTCTGGGGTTTGATGTCTGCATTTGTAAGATAAGAATACACATGAGCTCCACAGTCATCTCCTGTCCCATCAGTCTATGATTCTGCAGTGCAAGAGATTGGTCATTTTAAGACCTTTACAATGACAGGCTGGGCTTCTGGTGATGGCTACGTTATTCAGAGAACCACTGGCTCCCCCAGCTTCTCCTGAGCACAAGACCCATGTGCTTCACAAGTTATATAAAGTACGTTCAAAATGTGTGGTGAATATTTACAAACGTTTATGAAGCACACTGTCATCAGTCCTGCGGAGAATCCTCCCCTCACTTCTAACACATTGATCCCATCATTCTCACACTTCCTGAGGCCGTTGTGGACATCTCCTTTTGGGTGTGCCTTTAAAGCACGTGATCTAAGAATACAGTGAATGCTGTTGTTGAGTGCTTTCCAACAGAAAAGAAAAGTAGGCTCTTAGAAACACTGTGATGTGACCTCTTCTACACTCATCTGCCACTGTGTGACTTCTGGCTCTTCCCCAAAGCCAAAATGACCATGAAAGGTAAACATTTTGAATGGATGCAGGATATCAAAGCAGCCACCACAGCAGGATGAAAGACACAAAAAAAGACTTCCAGAACTGCTTCAGAAAGTGGCAGAAACAATGGATAAGCACATTTAAATCAAAGGGGAGTACTTTAAGGGGATTAATAGCAATGTGTCTTTATTTAATATAATTTTTTTTTACCGGTACCAGGGATCGAACTCACGACCACGGGCTTGCAAGGGAGGTGCTTATGCCACTGGGCTAAGCCCCTATTTAATGTAATTTTTAAAAAATTAAAGTTCACGCTAGTTTTTAATCATTCCTTGTTGGTGCCACAGATGACACAAGGAAGGCTGTCCCACAGGCAGCTGGATGTCCTTTGCATCCAAATGACAGGCCTCAGAAAACTCTATACCCTTCTTGTTTCCTGTTGTAGGACTGTCTTCCACATGCAGGTATTTTTAATTCCTTCTTAGTAAAAATAGCATATCTGTGATTTTAGCAGTGCTTTGTTCACATTTCAAATATGGATCATATCACAGTGCACTGAGATTTTTTTACTCTGCCTCTTTCTTGATTAGAAAATAGATGTCTCAAAAGCAGGACTATGCCTCCTTATTTGTCATGTACTCTGAAGCAATACAGAACCTGGCTGATTGAATAAGTTATTATTTTTTAGCATTTTAGGAAATTCAGAGAGCATTCATAAATATAGTCATCCAGATATTTACATTTATGTGTATGCTTTTCTCTCTAACAGGATGGTATTTCAGGTGCAATTAACCATTTTCAAAGCACTGTGCTGTCAGTGCCTAATCTCGTGCCTGACGGGTATTTTGATGCTTTCACCAGCCCTTACATCAACAACAAACGTGAGGAAAAAACCTGCGGCTCTGGGCCAAGTTTATCGTCTGTGTTTGATGATGATAGGAATTTTCACACAATTATCTTTCAAATAAAGGTATTTTTCTATAACTAAAACTATGTCGTAGAACCCGGTGTGGTGGTGCAAGCCTGTAATCCTAGCACTTGGGAGGCTGACGCAGGAGGATCATTGCAAGTTCGAGACTGACCTGAGCTACAGAGTGAGCTCAAGGCCAGCCTGAACTGCATAGTGAGACCCTGTCTCAAAAAGTCAAAAAAAAAAAACAAAACCCTATTTTGTAACAATCTCAATTGCTAAGAAATTGAACAATATTTTTCTTACTGTCTTTAAATGTTCTATTTATGAAAATTGGAATACACTTAGTATCTAAATGGTAAAATTTGGAAATAATATTGAAACCTCATTAAGCAAGAGATAGCCTTTTAAAAGCATTACAAATTTATGGCAAAACAGTTACATATCTTTGGCAACCCATTTGTGTGTGATTCCAGAGAAATAGGGGTGGCTACTGGGGATGCTGAGACAAAAGCAAGACTAGGATGCGTTGGCAGCTAGCAGTATTTTAATTTAAGCCACACTGTATTAAATATTTTGTGATTTATTAAAATAAATTATTTGAAGCTCATTAGAAAAAAACGTCCCGACATCTATCCATAATCTGTCAAATGTAGGCACAATCCAAAGCGTACTTGAAGACTTTGGAAATAGTTTTGCATTTACTCAAATGCTCCAATCTAAGCAGAAATTTTTATGCAGGAGTCTTCAAGAGGAGATCAGTGTGAGAAGGGAAAGAACAGCGCTACTCTTGCTTTGATTTCCTTGAGGTCTTTGGTAGCCCGGTTGACTGCACGGAAAATAGGAATGTGGCCCCATTGCCTGCGGTCACCTATTCTCCTGGGCAGCCAAGCGCTGCCACCGGTTTCAGACTTAACGTTTGCCTGTGTGTCAGTCACGGAGCTCCTCTATGCATACGCTTCTCTGTAACTCAAAATTAGCGTAGTGTCTAAAGCTGTTCATTTCATAAAGCTATCATTGTAACTATCCTGGTATGATTTTATTTTTAAAATTATTTGAATTGTACATTTATGGGGCATGGTATGATATTTTGATACTTGTATAAGAATAAGTCATGGTAAAGCCTTTCCCTTCCTTGTGTTCCCTTCCCTCTATCTTTTGATCTCCTTTGCACCTGCGAACGATCTGTCTCTCTACTTCTATCATCTATCTTTTATTTTGCTCTTTATTTATAGTTCTGGTTCTTCTCCACTAGTATTTGTACTAAAGAAGATATTTCACAACCTGCTTTCATTCACTGCCTACAATATTATCTGACCATCAGGTTTCTCTCCCTCAGTCAATTACTTTCCTTTAAAATGATGACTATAATATTTTTGATCAAAAGTTATGTTTTCCATTTGGAGAAGCCAAAGATAAAGCCAGTCTGAATATAAATTACTACACGTATCTTCAAAACATAATAAGGGTTCTACAAGGAAAAAGAAAAAGCAAAATGTATGCCTTTATCAAGTAACTAGAAAATGAAGAATACTGAGTCACATTACCTTTCCAGTGAAGAAATATACACACATGTCAGTGAGGTTTCTTTCTCACTCTTCTACCAAGAGCCTGTGCAGTGAGGTCAGGCCTTTGAAATGTACAAAAAAAGGAGGCAAGAAGTTCACACAGACCTGGGGTTAATCTAAAATCACAGCCAAAAAGAAGTCCATCCTGTGTGCAAGAATGATTTTTAGAAAGTTTTAGTAGAGCAGAGAATTAACTTTGTAGATTGTAGGAAAGAGATTTAAACAGGCAAGTATTCAAGAAGCATCACTTTTGGGAAACTTAAGACAAAAAAAAAAAGAAAGAAAGAAAGAAAGAAAGAAAGAAAGAAAGAAAGAAAGAAAGAAAGAAAGAAAGAAGAGCCATTATTTGAATGTTAGGATGAAGTCTAGGAAATGAAGCAACTGGTGAAAACATAAGATTTGCAAGACAAACAAGAACCAACGAATCAGAAAGCACCCAACTCTTTCTCCATCACAACAAAACCAGATAGGTGCATCTTACTCTGCTGGCAGAAGAGAACGCCCTTGAACTACAAACTTCGTAAGTCACTTCCAATCCAGGAGCTGAAGAAATGCAAACAGAATGCTTACATGCAACGCTGCTATAAGGAGAAAGAAGTGAAAATGGAGACATTTGATAAATATTCTTCCCCTCACTGCAAGCAACTACTAGCAAAAGCAACATCAAAACTGAAGCAGTTATCCTTAAAGAAGCACTTGTTTATATGGAAAGCCATATTTGAATAAAAAATTCAAAATTAATAGTAGAAAAACCTCAGAAATGAAGCAAAATTACATGATCCCCACGGGAGAGTAAACCAAAAGACAATTTAAAGTGAGTATAGAGAAATCATAGGAAAAATAATCATGTAGAAAAAGACAGGGAAACAACCAAGAAAATAAAAATAAGACAGAAAAAGCAAGTGAAAAGGGCCAGAGGGAAGAAAACTGGATGGAACACAAGCAAATAAATAAATGACATATATATACAACTGGAATTTTTGAAAAAGAAAACCAAAACAAGGCTATGAAATGGGCGCTTTCAACTGTAGTTAAAGAAAAAAATTTCAAATCTCTGTATAACCTAATGAATACGTCAGAAAATTGTTCCAGAACAACTTACTCTGAAATGCTTACTCTTAAAACTATTATATTTCTTTTTTAAAAAAACTATTATATTTCAATGGTACCAAAAAAACTCCTCCAAAGAAAAATGACCAAATAACTTTCAGATGTAAGATAGGCATCAGATGTCTCAAGAACAATGTATAGGAAGGACAGAAGGCATGAATGAAGCTAAACTTTTTTAAAGAAAGGCATATAAAAATATGAATCAAAAACTTTTATCTAAACGGGGCATGGTGGCACACGCCTGTAATCCCAGCACTCTGGGGTGCTGGGGGAGAATGATAGAAAATTCGAGCTCACCCTGGACCGCTTAGTGACTTTGTAAGAACTCTGTCTCTGGGTAAAAAATAAAAAAGGACTCAAGATGAAACTGAATGGAAGATCCTGAATTCACTCGCAGATCTGAAAAAAAGAAAAAAAGATATCATCACACTAAACTACTTCTTTAAAGATTAAGGACATAGAAAACTATGCAGATTTAAAGATGCAAGTATCCAGGCAATTTGGTGCTGATCCAGAATCTGTTACAAGATCAATTTCATCCAGCTAAGAAATTATTTTAAAAGAAAAACTAATAAAATGTAAATTTAATTCTATGTATATCTAAGCATAAAACAGTTGCATTGATAAGGATATACAGATGTATGTTTTAATAAAGTAGAAATCATACAACTTTAAAAACAGAAAGAGCGAGGAGAAAGTATGATGCAACCAGTGTCTGTTTATAGGTTGATGTAAAAATAACAGATGGGAATTAATACCATTAATAAAAGCCAACAAATCAAGTCATGACAGGAATGAGGAAACAGGAGACTAATAGTGTGTTTAAGTACATTGATAATTTTTGAAATAAAGATATGCAGAGTTAAGAAACATGGAAAACAACCATAAAACATATTTTAAAAATGTGGCCAAGCTGAGAACAAATATATCAGCAATAAAATGAAATGTGAATGAGTTCAATTTATCTATTAAAAGAAAAAGATTTTTGAGATTGTTGCAGAAGGTAAGACAAACCATACAGAGAAAAGAAAGAGAAAAACCTAAAAAGAAGTGACTAAAAAAGGCTAACAATGAAGGGCTGCTTGGTGATGTAGAGACAAATACCTAAAATAAGAAAGTGGACTTGTGATCCTTTGAGTTAAAGAACCCAAGACGGCCATCACATTCAGTGATTCATCAGGAGAACGAATAGGACTCAGCATGTAATTGTACTCATGGCTGAGTATTATAATGAAAGGATATAAAACAACATCAGCAAAGGGAAATAGCACGTAGGATAAAATCCAGAGGAAACCAGGCACAAATTTCCAATGCCCTCCAAGTATGGAGTCACACAGAACCATTTAATTCTTCCCGTAAGGAATTTGTGGCCACACATGAAGTATTCTTGCAAGGAAGCTCATTTGAGTGTTAGACTTAAAAGCTGTTAAGAGATTATTGCAGACATTTATCAAAATGAATTTGAAAAGCTAGATGAAACCAAGATATATTGTACCAGTATCCCCAGAAGAACAAGAGAAAGTTACACCCTGCAAAAAAAATAACGACCGAATGGTTTCACAGAGGAACTTTATCAAAGAGCAGATACTCACAAAGTTATATACTGAAAATGCAGTAGAAAGAGAGGGGGAAAACCCCTGCATAACAGTAGAAAAAAAGCAATATATTAGAAATAATCTAACAAAAATGTTTAAAAACCCACATGTAGAAAACTGTTATTTTTTTTTTAATTTTAAATCTTCTGGAAGACACAAAAATAGAATTAGACTATTGTTCTTGGGTGAGATGATTCAGCATACTGAAGATTTTCTTTTTCTCCAAGTTGATTTATAAATTTAATACATGCTAGTAAAGGTGCTGCCAAGTTTTTCATGGAGTTAGACAAATTTATAAAATACATGTATAGTGAACACACTTATAATAAATCATTATCGAGTGAAAAATATCAAATCCCTGAGACAAGTACAGAATTCTTCATAGACCTGGGACAGTCAATTAGACATATGAACAAAGATCCATAACCCATACTTTACATAATAGCACATGAATCAGGTACCTAAAAAATAAGATATATTCATTCAAGTAGTAGGATAAAACATGAGTGAATTCTTCTGTAATTCTGTCCAAAAGAAAAGGTTATCTATAATTCAAACTATAGATGCAATGATAGGAAATTTTGACTACATAAAGATAAATAACTTGCAAAGCCAAAAAACTTGCAAAGTAAAAATGTTATTACAAACCAGACAGATATTTATGCATCATGTAACAGCTAAGGGGTAATATTTTTAATACATGGAAAAGTTTTGCAGTGGGGAAAAGGGAGGAGACCAAAACTAGGTAGAAAAATAGTTAATATAAGTGACCAAAAATTCACCCAAAAAGCAGCGGTGAAACATATGAAAAGATATTCTACCTTGCTCATAAGATAAATGCAAATTAAAACAAAAGGCATTTCTCAAGTACCAGGCAAGTAAAATAAAAAACTACACCTATACATTCTGCTGGCTAATCTACAGCGAAGCAGACAGCCTGATACTGCTTGTGGGAATGCAAATGATAGAGAATTTTAGTGATATATACCAATTATATATGCATTTTCCTTTTGATTCAATAATGCCATATTTAAAGTCGTACCTTGAAAATATATCTTTAATACAAAATTACACATGTACTGGGTTATTTACTGCAATGCTATTTATGATTGCAAAATATTGGAACCCACCAGAATACCCATAGATGAGAAAAGTGATTGAATAAACCATGGTACACTCAAACAAAGGGATGCTATGCAGCTTATCAAAAAACAGACAAAAAGCTACTAAGTAATATGAAGTGATTTCTGGGACATATTATTAGATGAAAAGGCAAAATATGAAAGAATGTCTACTGCAGACTCCTTTTCATGTCCAAAATAAGGAATAGGAAGGGGAAATGAACCAGAACTAGGGAAACTGGTTATGTAAAGGAAAGATTAAGAATGGTTTTTAAAGGATGAATACAGTGGATATGGTATAGAAAAGATGACCAAGTAACTATTTCTGAGTATGTTTCAATGTAGTCCTAAAAACACCAACAGGAGTGGCAACCAAAATGAGCCTGAATGTATTTCAGATACACAACATAACCACCCTGAAGGGAAGGCAGAGAAAAACTAAACCAAGTAAATTTTGAACAGAGCATTCTGACCATTAATCCTATGCTAAAGACAAACGTTGAACTCTGATTATACTTGTTTTTTAATGTTGTGTATTAGTATATTAGTATGCTAACAATTTTGAAGCTATTTTCTGGTATATTCTAGAGATAGGCAAATAACTAAATATATTCTGGATGGTGTAATGGAGTTATTGATCCTCAGAAAGACAGTTACATGTCTCTTTAAGACAACTGAACATCAAATAATTCAAGGCTATAGCAATACCACTGTCTCTTGAATGAAGTCAGAGTATATTGTCATAGTTACTTTTAATTCATCGCTGAGACAAAATACCTGATGACCAAAGTTAGGAAAGGAAAGGTTTATTTCTTACTGTTTTTGGAGGTTTCAGTCCATACTCAGTTGGCTCCAAGGCAGAGTGGCATGGTGGGCCGCAGTTCATGGCCATTGCAAACAACAAGCAGAAACCAGCAAGAGAGAGAGACATACTTTCTTCCTGCCATTATGTCACATCCTGGCTCCACCTGTATGTGGGTGTACCACTGACACCATCAATCCAAGCGCTAGACAGTGAACCAATCACAAATGCATAATGCAAACACATGAGGCCTCGGAACCACCAACATAAACCATGACATATATGAATCCATGTTGTGACTTAATTTAGTAAGAAGAAAGACTTTTTCCTCCAGTGGAATGCCACTAATAAATGTGGAAAGAAAACATAAATGGGAAAATCACCCAAGTGCCATCATAGAAATAGGCAAGACTCTCCAAAGAATACTGAAAAAACAATTCAGTAATCCTGAATAGACATTTTCAAAAGAAGACATACAAATAGCCAATAATCGTATGACAAATGCTCAACATCCCTCTTCAAAGGAGAAATGCAAATCAAATCACAAAGAGGTGCCACATCACCCCAATAACTTGTCAAAAAGACAAGTGCTGGCACGGATGTGGAGCTAAGAAAATCCTTGCACAATGCTGACAGAAATGTAAATTAGAGTAGCCATTATGGACAACAGTAACCTCTAAGAATCAGAAATAGAACTACCAAATGATCAATCTTCCCTGGGAAAGATTTGGGTTTCATAGAAAGGACAGGAAATCAGTGCATCAAAGGGACATCTGTGCTCCCATTTCATTGCAGTACTATTCATGATTGCCAAGACATGAAATCAACCTAAGCATCCATAAAATGCTGAATAAATGAAGAAAATGTGGTGTATATTCACAATGGCAGTCCCATAAACAATAGTAAACTTAACAATACTTAAACAATAGTAAAAAAATTAAAATAATGAAGTCTTGTCATTTGCAACAATACAGATGGACATGGAGATTAGGATATTGAGTAAAATAAGCCAGGCACAAGAAGACAGAACTACATGATCTCACTCAAATGTAGAATCTAAATAAGCTCTCAATAGAAGGTAGGGTGGAATGGCAGTGCCCAGAAGCTGGGTAGAGTTGGGGACTGGGGGAAGAGGTTGTTCAAAGGGAACTAAGTTACAGTTAAAGAGGGACAAGAAGCTCCGGTGTTCCAGTGCATGGTATCATGACTGTACACAACATTTATGTATTACATAATCTGAAGAAGCCAGACTAAAGAACATTGAATGTTTTGATCATGAAGAAATGATAGATGTTTAAGTACATAGATGACCTAACCTAAATGTTATACAATACATACACATATCAAAACATTTCATGATACTTATTATACATAATTTTATGTCTTTATGAATCAATTAGAAACAAAAATGAAATGAACATGCAAAAGCATGATGGGAAACAACATATTTACATGACTGTGAAGCATTTCTTCATATTTATAGATTTTAGAGGGAAATAGTACATTTACAGGAATGACCCTGGTAGACATCTCCATAACCAATCTGTTAACATTACCAATAAAGAGATGAATTAACATGGTGAGCCCAGTGACATGCGGCACTGAAAACACACCTCCCTTCCATGATCTTCTAGCCAGTAATCTTCAAAATATAAATGTCATGAAAAAGAGAAAAATTCAAGAAGTGCAACAGATTAAAGAAATACAAAGAGTTATCAAAGATGCTGTACATGAACTGAGCGTGGTGTACACACCTGTGATCCTAGCACTTTGGGAGGGCTCAGGAAAGAGATTTAGCAGGATCAATTTATCAACAACCTGTCTCAAAAAGGGTCTAGGCTGTCACCCAGTCACCAGGGTCCAAACCCCAGTACCACACACACACACACACACAAAGATGCTCTACATGATGGTTCAGAGAAAAAGAAATGTAACAGAGAAAGATGAAGGAAAAATGGTAAACCATTAAAATTTAGGGAATTTTGGAAACAGATACATGGAATTCTCTGTACTATTTCAGCAACATTCCCGTAAATCATAAATGATCTCAAAACAAAAAAGTTTTAAATCATATTTTGGATATAGTTGGACCTCTATGTATACCTTTCATAGGCACTGAACATGTGATAACATATACTGACACAGGTAATAAAGGACTAAAATAAGCAGGGATATAATTGTCTTGGGGAAAGACTTTGTAGGAAAAGAGAATTCAAGTCAAATTTTAAAAGATGGTTCTTATTAGAGCAAATATAAAGGAGAATTTGACAGCAAGATCAGCATGTGATTTTTTTGGCACACTGAACAATCTTGCCTTTGCCCAAAAACATTTCAACTAAGACATAAAATTTGCAGTAATCTTACTGCAAATTAGACTTACTGTTTTAGAAAACAAACAATTGTCACTTGGTCAAATGTTTACTAGTGACATATGGGTTCACTATGAAGCAGAAAAAATTGCAAGTATGTTTGTAATCATTAAGAATGATTCCTTAAAATTCAGATTTGTAGGTGGATTTTTAAATGTTTGTGTTTTTTAATCTATTAATTGCTCCTTGATATCAAAGGTGGTATCTTTCCTTATCAGAATACCCCAAGTCAAAACATTCTGTTAGAGAAACTATGTAGAGTGTGTGGGTGTAGCTATACCAAGTTGAATTTTGCTTTAGTAAAACTTGTTTGTTTGTGGCACTTAGGAAACCATTCATGCAGCATTTGATTCTGCCCGCTTGTATGCAACTACATTTGAAAAGTTCCAGATATTCTTTAAGGAAAATGAAAGTCTAGATTTGCAAGCTCTGAAACTTCAGGAACCTGGTAAGTTCTCTATTTGTTCTTGCTAGTTATTTTTTATAGGGATACCAAAATTTTAACCCTGCATTTCAATTTGGTGGTATTTGGTAACAGAAATGGAAGTGGAAAAAAAAAACCCTCAACAAAAGCCACATTCATTTCTAGGATACTTTCCATAGAAATACTTACTTTATCTTTTATTCACTACTATTGTTTTGTTTAGGGGAAATTATAGAAAGCAATTGTCCCTAATGATTTATTTTTTTATTATGAAGTTGTGTTAGGGCTAGCACTATTCTGTATATGGTAAGAAGTTGAAAGGAATATGTATTTACCTCTACCAATTCCATTAAATAACATTTATGTAACTTTTTCTGTCTTAGGAGTTCAAGTTAGTCTTTTTTCTTGGGACCACACTGAGACCTGGTGTGTGTGAATCAATAACTCTTAGTCATGAAATTAGATCTAAGGGAAAATCATTTTATTAGAAAAATTATCTTTGACAGAAGAAAAAATAATTACACTATCCAAATGAAACTTCAGACAAGGAAGTTCTCAAATAATTATGAAAATTAAGTATATAAAACTTGTCATTAATATTCAAAAATAGCATGCAAATCTTTCATAGTTTTCATATTATGAACTTGTATTTTAGTTTTATTTTTTGTATGTGAAAATTACCATTTAGAACTTTTGCCTTATGAACCAGCACTAATTTTTCTATAAATATCCTATAAATTTCTGTCAACCTTTTTTTTTATTTTAAAGAGAACAAAACAGAATAAAACCAATCAAAACAAACCAGTGTAAAATATACAGGACTTCAAAACATTACAAAATCAACAATAGTTACCAAAATGCCTTTTGATGCCTTCACTGCTGCAGATAACTTTGGACATAGTGAAAATCAAACAGAACAGAATAGAATAGAAACAATAAAAACAAGACAATGAATGTAATAAAGGACTTCAAAACAAGACAATAGTAAATCCAAAATTGCTACCATAATATATCATGCTATCTATGAAATAGCTGCTCCTGCGGATTTGACATAATCAAACAAAACAAAAGAGAATAAAACCCAACCCAACGAAACAATAGAAATATTATAGGACTTCCAAAACAAGACCATAGGGAATCAACAATGGCTGCAACTCTCAAAAGAAGATCCCTCCTTGATGTCACACTGAGTACCACTATTCTCTGAACCCATGATCAGACCACTGGCCCTAGACCTGCAGTGTTAGTGGACCACCAAAGCACCACAGGCATCCAATTGCGTTTCACCTCCAGAGGTATCATTCACAGCCTGTTTTTCCCCAGATAAGCCAGTGGCTTACAAGAGGAGGTGAAGAGGAGTTTGGTACTTATTTGCCAGCCCTCGCCAGAAGGGGTTAGGGTCTCTCTGTTCCAGTCTGGTGGTGGCCCGCACATGGTGCTGGTTTCCAGACTGGACTTGCTTGCTGGTGAGGCTTTGTTCTCTCTGACCTGGCTCTGCAAATGGCAGTGACTCACGATAAGAGGCTGGCGTCTGTCTGTTCCAGTCCAGTGGTGGCCCATGCATGACGCTAACCCTTTTTTTTTTTTTATAATGCTGAAGTATTTTAAATCAGTCATCCTTCTTTAAGTTAAATATTTCAATATTCATCTCAAATGTTCCTACAGAAACAGAATAACAGTACCACATCCCCTCCAAAGAATTTATTAATTGTTTAAGGAATTGCTATGTAATTGTTAAACTTGTTCCATGACTAAAATTCTCCAAGTAAAGCCTACCTCCAGGAAGTTCAACCCACAATTTTGTTTTGGAGCAGGCATTATATTTGGTTTTTTATGCCTCTTAAGTTTTAAAATTCTGAAACAGACTATTTTTTAAGACTCACAGGATGAAAGAGTTTGAAAGACAAGCATCAGAGTTTGGGGTTGCATCTGTGTTAGAAAGAGTTGTTTGGCTGTGGTATGATAAAAATATATTCAAAGGCAATTAGACTCTCACTGGCTCTGAGTTCATGGTAGAGGGGTCGGGTAAGAAACAGAGGCAGAAGATCATTATAATACAGCTGCAGCAAATGCCAGATGCAAATTGACAAATTCCTTTACTGAGGTAAGGTGCAGGACTGCCAGAGAAAGGTGTTGGTAGGTGTTGGAAAGAGGAATGGAAATAACTTACCTATATTTGAGCTTTTATGTTTCAAAATTTTATTACAAATATCCTCAAAATGCTTTATGTTCACATACCATGTAGGAGAACTCTTAGATTAAGGCCAACTTCAGACCAACCTAAGTCTAGAATCTAATCCATTCCAGACCAGATCCTCTAGTGTAATACTGCAGTCATATCTCAGAGATGTTGTATTCTATTCCAAACTACTGCAGTAAAGTGAATATCGAAGTCCCACACAGATTGTCACTTCCTAGTGCATATAAAAGTTATGCTTATGGTCTATGGTAGAGATCATGTGTACCACAGTCCATGTCTAAGAAGCAATGTATTTAATTCAATTTTAAAATATTTTATTGCTAAAAAATGTTAGTAATTATCCAAGCTACTGGAAAAATGGAACAAATAGATTTAATCAACTCAATGTTATCACAAACCTTCAATTTGTTAAAACATATATCTATGAAAAACAATAAAGTCCAAGGAAAAAGTTATGCCAGAAGATGTTAGTTTCATCTGTCGTCTCCTCCTGAAAGCCAGAAAACGTATTTCTATTGTGAAATATGGTGTTTTATTATAAGAATAAAACATTATAAAGCATTCTGAATTAATATGTTAGAGGTCCAGTGTATGGAAAGTAACATTATACATACTGATAGAGTCCCTTTGAACGGGACTCTGTGCCAGGTTCTACATGCGCCAGTCCATCATGGCACTGACCCCTACAACAACAGCCTGTCTCTCCTACACTAACTCCCGGGCTCGTTCTCTGGTGCCAAAACAAGAAACTTTGTCTCCCTTTCATGCACGCATCAAAGGTCCTCCCGTTCCCCTCCCAACACTCAGGTAGTCTCCACCACTATCCCAATCCCATAAAAGCAGGCCCCCAGCTTTGTCTCCTTTGAGGGTCCTTGCAATCTCCTGCAGCCCTCCCGCACCAGCAATAAAGCATTTCCTCACCCCTGTCTTTGTCTCTCAACTAACCCAAAAACCTAACAAATACATGTGTAAATTTATTCATGCCATGATTTTTAATATATTTTAAAATGATCCTTTAAAATGCAATATGTTTGATAATTTATTTAATATTTCATGTAGATGTGAAATACTTTAGTGAACAACTAGAAAAATATCACAAACAGCACAAAGATGCCGTGGCTCTGAGACCCACCAGAAACGTCGGCTTGCTGTTGATTGACACTAAACAACTAAAAGAAAAACTAATTCCATCACCTTTGCGATGCTTGGAGGTAACTGTGAACAAAGAGAAGTTTTAGTTATAGTCTTTACAATGATTTCATTATTTTCTACTGAAGAAATAAAATTATGCTGATTTTTTTACATTGCAAATATTGAAATTAGCATGATACTGCTGTTCAGTTTTCATTTATAAAAAAGTCCATATTTTTTCTGTCGCAAACATAATCGGCTTTTAAATGAGGTGTGAAAGTGACTGCAAACCCAAAACCAGATTCTTACCCCACCTTGTGTTTCCTTTGCTGAGTACTTCAGTATTTCCCAAGGAGAAATATCACTGCATCAGTCTCGGGTCTTAGTGGAATGACTGTTGATTTTAGGATGTGGAGATCAGGTTTAATGGACCATTTCCTAATTGGGAACTGTCCCTCACGTTCTAGAATCATTTACATAACCTGCACAGTCATTTCCTTTGGAGCCAGCATGTATCTATATGTTTTCAGAGGCCAGTAGAGAGATAGCGGTATAGAGCAGAGATTAGAGAACTCAAGGACTGATACAGTCAGCTTCTTGTTTTGCATTTACAATTTGATTACCTATCATCTATGGCTGCTTTCCCACTCCATGATTAGAAATGAGTAGTTATAAAAGACTGTGTGGCTTAAGAATCTGAAATATTTACTGTCTGATTCTTGTAGAAAACCTTTGTTTGACTCCTGGTATAGATGACAGAAGACAGAACATTATATAAAAGATTTGAGGATCTGAGCGCTTGTCAGTAATTGGGTGTCTGTCAGTAATTAGCTGTATGACATTGAGCTTTCGTCTAAAGCTTTGAATCTTCATATGTTAAAAAAAGAGAAAAATACATATAATTGGAGCAAATTCATTATCAACATTTTTTAGCACTGCTATATATCAAGACGGAGAAAACTAAACTCAAAATAGTTTAAACCATCAGAAATTTACAAGCTTATGCATCTAAAAAGCCCAGAGATTGATGAACATCAAGGAGGTATCATCTGATGGCCCCGTGATGTTAGAAAGACTTGAATTCTTTCCTTCTGTTTTCTGAGATCCCATGGATTATCTTTACCCTAAGGCAAACATTCCTCAGATATTGAAAGTTTCACCTCCTTGTTTGTGTACAAATAGACAGAAGGAGAGAGGTGCTATTCTGAGTAAACAAAAGTCCCAGACTTCTTTCTCACTGGATCACTTTGGCCAAAGGAGGCCATGCTCAAATTTGAAGGAGAAATCAATGATCCCCAAACCACATGCCTCCACCCAACCTGAAGGGAATAGCATTGATGCTCAGGAGGACAGCACAGTGTGTCTGCTATGTAGAACAAAGAAACTTTCAGGAACCATATTTGCAAGATATCAGAGCATTAAAGCAAACTGTGTAGTAAACTGTGCAAGCTAATTTGTTGTACGATGAGCTTCAAAATCAGACCTGTTTGTTCATTTGATGAGTAGTGGTTTAATGAGAAAAAAAATCCCTTTCATATGCACTATTGCTTCCAAAACCAGCTCATTTAACAAATATCTAACTAGGACTTGTTTGCAATAGGTAATAAAATAATAAAATAGTCACGTATCTGATTCCTCGAGGCTTAGTCACTTTCCTTATGGATGGGACAGACAGCCTATACCCACAACGTAGATAGGAGAAGAAGCTGATTTTGGCTCATGTTTCAAAGTTTCAGTCCTTGTATGTTATTGGCATGGAGTAAGGCCCGGGCAGAGAAAAGCTGCTCACATCACGGTGGTCAGGAAACAGAGAAGGGAGCCTGGCCAGCGATTCACCCTTGCAGGTCACATCCCCAGCAACCCGTCTCCCCCAAGCAGGCTTCACCTCCCAAACAAGTCAGTGGTCCAATAGTCTCCAGAAGCCCCACAGTTATGCACATGAGGCTTTGGGTGACATCTAAGGCATGAATCTTAACAATTTCCATTTTCTTTTTCTTTCTTAGGTGTTAAATATTATGCTTCCTCAGTTAAGCAAGAAAAAAGTGGATGCAATTATCTCTGAGGCACAAGATGCAGAGTATAAGCTTGAGTTTATTCCCACTACTACTATAGAATATGTTAATAGCTTAGTATTTCTTGATGAAATTCAGGAACGGGTGAGTTGACTGTCTCATATAATTTGGTACTCCAGACTTCATGGTAGGAAAGGAAGACATTTAATAAGAAAAAGCGAGCCTCTAAAGGTCAAGAAATGACTGTCAAAATATCACTTTTGAAGTAAGTGGATGCCCTATATTATAGCATTAATGTCAGCTAATATTTACTAAACTATGACATTATAACAGGCAGTGTGGCAAATTTTATATACATTGCATGTTTAATCCTTATAAAATCTTGAGAAGTCTGAATAATCTTTATCCTTTTATAACAATGAAGAGAACTGGAACTAAAATAGGTTATAAGTTGCCTGAGAATACAGCATTTGTATATGGTGAAGCTAGAATTTAAATTTGGGCCTCTTTGACTGCAAAGCTAGTATTTGTACCCATAGCTTATCGCAATTCTAATTTTTAGTAATAGTAATAGAATGTTAATCCAGGTAGTAGTCACAAGGAAAGTCTTAATCCTTGACCTGCATCTCCATAATAGGAAACTTTCTGTAAGAATTAAAGAAACTCAACCCAAACTAGCTTAATGGGTTTAAAAAGTAGATATGGGGAGCTGAGTGATGTAAACTAAGATATCGGTCTCTCTCTCTCTGTGTCTGTCTGTCTCTTTGTGTCTCTCTCCCTTTCTCATGCACACACACACACACACACACACACACACCACTCATTCCTGTGTCTTCTTTGTTTCTAGAAATTTGGTTTCCTTTCTGCAGGCTCTGCTCTGTAGTCCTGTTTTGTTTTTTGTTTATTTTTTTCATAAACTTTTGTTTATATCGGTTTGGCACTGAAATAAAGATAAATTTTTTTCCTAAATATTTGAAAATTTAAATGTTATAAATTAAAATATAAACCAAATGAACTAAGTCATTAACAATTGGACCCTTGTTATACATCATTGATAAAATTAATATTAAGAGCTATTTTACATGCCTACAAAACTAACCATCTTGTCATTTCAAGAACAGCACCTTCCTAAAAGGGCAATAATTGTGAATTTCCTTATATTTATCTATACGTCACCCCAAGAATCTGAATATACTAAGCATTTATCACTATTTGTATTCATCAAGCTTTTTTTGATAAATGTCCAAAATCCACAACAGCTATCTTGGGCCAATATCAGTCCCCATTTAAGGATTCAAAGTGTCTCAAGGGAACCCCTGTCCCCAGTGAAGAAGAAACTGAGCAGAGCAGGGCAGGACAGGACTGGGAATCGCAGGTGGCCTGTCTCTTGGTCTCTCCTTTCCACGTCTCTCTGAGAGTGGGCATCACTTCCCTCCCTCTGCAGAGAGGCACTGCTGAGTTCCCATCCTGCAGTGGCAAACAGGGCCACCAGGGCAGCTTCCCAGTGACAGGTTACCACCTGGCCAACCACCGAGAGAAAGACTCTCTCTTTTCCACGATGGATTCTAAATGTTTAATAAATGGGTTCAGACCCCCATTTTAGTTCTGTAAACTATCAAGAAGGTCAGATCACATATAATCAATGGCTATAGAAGGTTTGTAAACTGCTTCACTGTAGGATTCCAGAGAAATCACTGTCATGCAGAAAAACTAGACTGTGTCCCATCTCAGGGAGTTGCCCTTGCTTTCTGGGTGGCAGGCTGAGGAAGCAGCTCCCTGTAGGGCTATGTTCTGCACACTGAGATTTTTCTAGAATCTTATCTGTTCAGTCAGCATGTTTAGTGATTATCCGTATAGCAGGGTGCAAGAATTACAACTTCCAGCGAGCCTGCTTTCAAGAGGCTCAGTCTAGAACGAAAGCAATTATTGCACAATGAGTAGAGGTATAAGACACTGTAGTAGGGAATGAGTTTGTGGTCATACTTGCCTATGGGTCACTGCAGGCTTTGTAAAAGATGCCATGAGTGACTGTGTCCTAAAATACATCAAACATGTAGTAATACCCAGGAGATGAGAAGCCATACAAATACACAAGGCAAGATAACAAAAGCAGGATTTGACTGTTGATATATGTCATGGAGAAAGGGTATTTGCTTTAAAAAGCCAAAGCACTATTTTCAAGGACAAAAGAGAAGGTATAGATTGTAGCGATGTTACTGGGCAGCTGGATGGGAAGAAAAGAGTCTGAGATGACTTCAGATTGTTTCTATGGCGAATGATTGATAGTGGTATCATACCAGTATGAGGTGGGTAGATTGCATAATTCATTGTCTGATCAGAGCATTTGTTTTGAGAGAAAAAGAGACATTACTAATTATTAACCCAAATCAAGAAATGTAAAACAGGACACTCCCAGGGAAACCTGGGTTTATGCTCAGCCAACATACAAAGAAATATAGGAAAAGGAACCCATCCTGTGCAGAGAGATGTCAGGAACATTGGTGAAAGTAAGTAAAAGTCAGGGCTGGCTTAGGAAAATGGGAAACTCGATTCTAAGTTTGGTTGGGTCCAAAAAATAAGAATAAAGCCAGTCCTTTGAAAAGGACAGGAGCTATGGATTTGGAGTCCCCTAGAGAAACCAGAAGGGTCGCTTCTTTTCTCTCATCTCTAGAACAGTGGTTTTCAAAAGGTGGCCTCCAAACCAGCAGCATCAGCAGAACATGGAACTTGTTAGAATGCACTTTCTTAGGTGGACCCTAGACCTTCTGAGAAACACTGGGGGCAAGCTCTGCAAACTCTTTCAACAAGTTTTCCAGGACAGTGCCGGGCAAGTTACGGGTTGAAAAGTATTTTTCTCAAAGCCTCTCCACCATGATCTTCTCATGTTAGGGGCCTGATTTCTGCTTCCTCACAAAAGCAAATGGGTTCTGGCTTCAGCTGCAGTCTAAACCCTTACGGTGTTCAAGAGGGAGGTCAAACTGACTGAGGTTCTGTAGGACTCAGTGTGATGCTGCTTGGTTCAGCTTGTGCCGAGGACACCAGGCCAAGCAGTATGAAGCTGGCAGCTCCCTCTATAACTCTACGTAGAATTGGAGGTATGAGATTTCCTCATCCCCAAAGCAGGGAAATCCAGTGCCAGAAAAGTAGGAAAGACAAGAAATACACTGTCCCCTGAGGTGAAGTTAAGAGGTTTAGTAGTCATTTGGACATCGTGATTTATAAACAACCATAGATCTGGTTTATAATCCTAGGCACCCTGGAACATAGCCATGCATAAATAAGAAGCTGTTCTGAGACACTTGGTGCTCAGCCCGCATGCCTGGAAGCTCAGGTATCTCAGCCCAGCATCCTCACAGCACATTACTGTCTGGAAACTGTTGGCATTTATTAATGCTGATAGAGAGCAATGGAGAGGGAGTGAGACAGAGAAATAGCGCTGCTTGCTGACTGTGCTCAGCTCCAATTCCTGAAGACCCTGTGCTTATGATCCAGCCCACGTTAGCCGCTTGGATTGCATCCTTAAATGCGCTCCTCATGTTCTGACTCTTAATGTTTACATTGCACAGCAGCTGTCTCTTATGAGTCAAAATCGAAAAGGGTAGGCTAGGACTCTTCTATATTTAATGAGCAACCGATGTTTCTGTTTAGATTGAAAGCCTCGAGGAAGAAGGGAACATAGTGGTTCAAATGTACAAGCTTATCGACCAGTACCAGGTGCCCACGCCTCCCGAAGACTTTGCCGTTTTTGCCACTATGAAACCATCTATTACTGCTGTTCGAAATGCCATTGATAAGTCAGTGGGCGACAGAGAAACAAGCATTAAGCAGTTTTGTCAGCATTTGGGCAGAGATCTTGAAGAGCTAAACAATGAAGTGAATGAAATAAAGCTGCAAGTGCAGGTAACCTACCGGAGCTAGAAGCTAATAACCCATGCAAATTTTAAATATGAATTTTAAAAGTTAAGATATAATGGACCAATAAGAATTGTGTATGTTTATAGTTTATGATATGATGCTTTGATATATGTAGGTGAACTGCCCTGGGATAATTACCTATAATTTATCTCACATACTTCTTTTTTTTTGTGGCAAGAACATTTAACATCTACCCTTCAAACCTTTTGGGAAATATACCTTATTTTAACTGAATTAACTTTTTAAATTATTGTTCTAACTAGTCAAATTTTTTGAGCTGCTCTTTATAATTAAAGGAGTTCTGGATCTCTTTTTACTTGCTAATTAAATTCCAGACCAACGCAAGCAAAGCCTCCATGTAGTATTGAGTTCTATTCCTCATAGCTTTTATTGTTTTGAAATGCATGTTTTTTACTACTTGCTAGAACATTTTGTAACTGTTGTCACAATTTTAAAGTTTGCTTCTCATATGAAGAAACATCACTTTAGAAAGAGGCATTATGTAAATTGATAAATGGTACTGGAGACTATTTGATTAATTTGCACCAATTTTATGATGGAAAAGATCCAGAGGAAGTATCTAGGTGACTCTTTTCCTCCATTGTTTTAGGCATTGAACCAAGGTTCTCACACATGGTAGGCAGTTGTACCACTGAGTGACATCCTCAGCCCTAGGAAATTCTCAAGTGTACCTGAATGTATGATTGTGAAAGGATTCCTTATTTTATTTGACATTGGCTAAATCATGAATTTATACTAAAATGTTTCAAACTGGCAAAAAAATTCAATGTCAACAGAAGACTAATAAAATACATTAAAGTACATCCTTTCAAGGGAATGCAACATAGACATTAAAAATTGCAACATACATTTAAATGCTTCCACCTGGAAACTCTTAAAGCTGGTAGGGGGTATTTACTGTTTGTCTAGCACCATTCTAAGGATCTGACCTTGTTTCTGCTATTGTACTGAAATACCTGCGTCTTTGTATTTTCTCATAAACAGAAGTGTACACAACTGTAACAACTGTGTACCTCAATGAATTAGCAGAAGGTGAACACACCCAGGTACTCTGCGCATGACAATAGCCGTAGTATTACTGACATCTTCGGTGTCCTCTACTAATTGTTAATTCTTTCCTACTACCCTGAATTTTAATATCATAAATTAGTTTTGCCTGCTTTTGAGCTTCAGTCAACAAAAATCACACAGCTGTATTTTATTTTGATATATTCCTGATGTTTGCCCATGGAGATGTGTGTGGGTGCCGTTTTACCCATATTTGTTGCTAATAGTATTTCATCATATGTCACGTTTTCATTATTTGTTCCATGGTGGATGGACATAGGGATTGTGTAAAGTTTTTGGTGAATATAATGCTTCTGGAAGCATCTTATATGTGTTTAATGATTTAATGGATTTACTCAAAATGCTTATAAGGTTTTATTATTGACATTTTACAAAGAAAGAAATCAAGACACGGGGAGGTTAAGAGAATTGCCCAGGGTCAAACAGATAATAAATAGTGTAATCAGGATTTAAGCTTAAGCAGTGTGCTTCTAACAGTCTGCTGTTAACCATTAGGCCAAATTCTACACACGGCAGACAATTTAAAAACATGAGCAATTATCCTTGGTGCATTAGGGAAATAATTGGAGAAAGCAAAATGCCAGAGCGTGCTTTGTGTGTAATCATGTACTTTAAATAGCATAATGCACATACATAAAAACAGTGACATGGGTGTTTCTAGCAAATGCTTCTTCTGTGGAAGGCTTGCGAGCATTTCTTATCACTTGTGGGAAAAGAACTATAACTTCATTGTTTCTATGAATGATCTCTTACTGTCAAGACTCCCACTCATATTGCTGGAGAAAAGTTGGAAAGAAACCCAACAAGTGATCAATTATTTCATTTTGAAATGTTGTTTCATTCTAACTTGGCTGCTTTTGACAGATTCTAATTCCATTTAGAATCTAATCTCTTCTTCATCCTGGCCACTAACTCCTGCTACCTCTGCCCCTTCTGTTTTCTTACAGTAGGTGGAAGAGAAGGCTGTCCTGACCCTGTACTGCCTGCTGGACCCTAGGCACTTCCATTTCTCATTACTGGGCTGGGCCTTGTCTCAATGCCAGGCTGGGCCTGGTTCTCCCAGTCAGCTGATAGCTAAGGGTCCTTCCTGCTTCTTTAGGTTCCACGAGTGTTGGCAACAGTCCATTATTCTGCCATATCTTGGTCTCATATAATCTGTGACTTTCTTAACTTGGCCTTGGATTCTTCTGGATCACCATTTCTCTCAAGAGTCCCCACTATCGGACCCATGTCACATGAGAGCACAATGACCTCCAACAAAGCACAACCACAAGGCACTCAAATGTCAACCAACACTTTCTGCCTGGACACTTACGTTAGCCTGATCTAATCTCAAGCACTTTGACATTTAGGATGCAGGGCTGTACAGAACAGGAGATTGAATAACCGGCATCCCCAAGCACTGATAGTTACAATAGCTGTCCAAGTTCTTTAGCATTCTCACCTTTTCCGTAACACAATTATGTGCTTTTACGTTGCACCTGAACTATTATTCTATTCCCAGCCCAATGGAGTTTTGACCCCAAATTCATCCAGAAGACATTTGCTTTGACATTTATATTCTTCATTCTCTCTCTTTCTCCTTATGGTGATACCATGAGATAGATAGATAGATAGATAGATAGATAGATAGATAGATAGATAGATAGATAAAGATAGATACGTCTACAGTTTCTAGCTTCGTAGTTCTCTCAGCATAGTTATTTCCTAATGACCCAAATAATTAAAGTACCTGTCGTTTTTACCTTGGCTCCCAAAGCAGCTTTGAAACAACTGTAGTACAATAAAGGAAAAAAGCAGTCGTGTGTGCAATGTTGAGATGCTTTAGACTCTGAAGCAGTCAAAAATCAAAGTCTGTATCCAACCTTCTCTTGCCCTTCTTTATTTACAAGACTGGCCATAGAAACTGCATTTCTCTTCCCCAAGGTGGAAAATAGAAACTAAAAATGCACTCTAATCTTGTCCTTCATGTCTACCTTGGACTTGGCCAAGACCCCCATTGCAGGAGGGTTCCTTCTCCATGCGTGGGAGGAAGGAATGCTACACCGAGATCAAGAAGAACCCAGGCAGGCCTTGCTGGGCTCCCATTCCGTCTGCCAGCATTAGATCGGACCAGATCATATCTGAACACAGTTATCCTTGCTTTCATTGTTTGTGCAATGTTATGTCCACAAAAGCACAAGGTTTGCAGAGCACATGGAAGTTCCCCAAGGGCAATAGCCTAGGGAGGGCATGGAAGCTCTGTGACCTCTCCCTTCAACAACACCCTATACATCTCTTCGTTCATTGTTATGTGCTTTATAATAAGCTGATAAATGCGAGCATTTACCTAAATTCTGGGAGTCACTATAGAAAGGTAATTGAACTTAGGAAGGGACCATAGAAACCTAGTATGTAGCCAGTCAGTCAGAGGCACAAGTAAACAGTCTGGATCTTACATTTGGCATCCAAAATGGGAGGAAGTCTTGGGACTGAGCCCTCAACATCACTATCCCCATGCAGATGTTGTCAGAATTGCACTGAAGTGAAGGACAGTCTGCTAATGACTGCTACAGAGCTGATTATTTGCTTTAATGTGTAAATAAAAAATTGCACACACCTAGCAGTAGAAGCATGTTCTAAGAGGACACAGTATAGAAGGAAGAACTGAATTTATTTTTCCTTACGATCCTTAGACTTCCTCTCAGAATTCAAAAGGCTTCCATCCCTCTATCTTCCTTACATCATACCATCTTCTCTTTCCTGTTATATTGACCTCTCCTTACCTGAACTCATATTGGTGAAAGATGTGTACAGAATAAAAGTGCAGGGAATGAAAGAGAGAATAGATTAGACATTATTTAAAAGCAGTGCTATCCCCATGTCATCTTTTTATTCAGCTCTGCTTTTTACAGTGCATATGCATTCACTTAAAATTCAAGAAAAGGAACTATCTTAACATATTTTCAAAATCAGAGACAAAAGAAAATTAGAAAAATATCCATTCTCAAAATGTTTATGAATTAATTCAGTTTAACTGATCTTCATGAAAAGGTAGGAATGCCTAACCAAAAGCTCTCTTAATGTTACAGGATCCACAGATTCTGGATATTAATGCTGACCAAGACAAAATCAAGGTCACATTGAATGAACTGCAGTATGTTATAGATGATCTTCAGAAGCGTGCCTTTCAGTATAAATCCTACCAGAAGAATTTCAAGGTAATTACAGAGCAACACATCTGTTTTTAAAACATGGACACAAGCTGGGCGTTGTGGCACACACCTGTAATCCCAGCACTCAGGAAGCTGAGGCAGGAGAATCAAGCTAGCTAGCTTGAGCTACACAGTGAGTTAAAGGCCATCCTGAACTGTGTAGTGAGACCCTGGCTCAAAAAAAAACTTATAATAATAATAATAAATAAATAAATAAAATGTGGACATACAAGTCATGATATTTATATTTAAACAAGGAGACTATAAATAATGTTTGACAACTTTGTGGAAGTCACTGTGCTAGAAACAGTCTCAAATACAAATTTGTTCCTGCTTTTTCTGTGTTTAAAGATTAGTATACATGACAGTCAAAATGTCCTTCTTATTAATAGATAATGGTGAATTATGGAAAACTGTCAGACAAGGAAATATAATTGCTATATTAAAATACATGTACATTTTTAAATGTGATCAATTAAAGTCCCTCTCTTTTCTTAACTAAGATTCAGGCTCCTTTTGCTTTCCCACATGTGCTATGATTCCATGAATATTGCCCAATTTGTCCTGGTTTGATAGACTAATTTAAGGGAAGAAGAGATTCTCAATTAAGTCAGAAAATAGATGGGCACAGAAAGATAGGGTTGAAAACTAAAAGATGTATTTTGAAAAAAAGATATAGGCAAGGGCAAAGGGGAAGAGATGCAGGTACATCAAACAGCTTTTTAAAGACTGATAAGAAAAAAAAAGAACAGAAAAGAAATGATCCCCATGGCGAAGGCCAGGAGGCCACCAGCATAGGATGGTGCCGGCTCTCAGAAGTCTTAGAGCAGCAGGCCTGAACCTCCTGTGGGAAAGCACCTGTCTCTTCCAGAGTTCCCAGTGGATGGCCAGGATGGGACCCCAAGTGCTGTCCACTCCAGAGGCCAGGGCTTAGCAGGGCAACCTGGAAAGTAATGAGCCTGATACCAGGCAATGAGGCTGACATAAGCCTGAGGCCAGAGACTTGTGAGTGAGAAAATTAGAGTGTAAGGCATCCCGGACTGTGTTAATTAACCCATATAAGGAGGCCTGTAGTAGGAGTGAGGGAGAACGGAGAAAACACTGCCGGTGAAAACATTACAACAGATGGCCACGCCTTGGGTCAGAAAGAACAGACATGATGTCAGCAAGACGATGACCTGTGAAGCCCTGACCTCTTCTTTGCCCTGTGTTCAACACGGACTTAACAACAGTACACCAACCAGATTTCTTTGGAAGTGATGCAGAGCCCGGAAGAGCATCTCCTGCACACTGAGCATGTTGGAAACCAGCTGTGTGGAAAGCAGTAGATAATTCATGCACCCTCTCTCTAATCGCTGCCTCCACTAAGCCCCAGGATTAGGAGAAAGGGCCTCGCTTCTTCCTGAGGAGGGAAAGAGAGATTGTGTGGTGTGTGTAGCATTCTGGCTTTCCAGGAGGATGTCTGAGAAACTGCTTTCTGTCTTGCCCACGTTTGAACGTGGACAGGAAAAGATTGGAAGCCATTGAGAACAAGACCAACTGTCGGGGTTGGGGGTTTAGCTCAGCGGCATAAGCGCCTGCTTTGAAAGCAGGCAGTCGTGAGTTCGATCCCTGGTACCGATAAAAAGGAAAAAGACCAAAAAAAAAAAAAAAAAAAAAAAAAACAACTGCAGTAGTGCATAGTCATGGCCGTGGCCTCTGCCCCTGAGTCAGCACAGAATGAATGGGCAAAAACACCCAAATCTTAGCTGCTCTCTGAAGCAGAGAAAATTCATGGAGTTTGTACACCATTCCAGGCTTTTAGGGGGCTGCCCAAGGAATTAGCTTCTGTATCACCTGGATGCTGGCAGGACCTAGCATGCTCTAGGTGTTTAGTGGCTGTGAGAGCAAAGGCAATGATTTCAACAAATGCATGCTCACCTGTAGCCTGGCACTGTCGCATCCAGAGACTCAGAGCTGCTAACTTCTCACAATGGAGAGGGAAAAAGAAACACATACACGTACAGAGATCAGACTTTTGGGGCGCTTTGCAAGACATTGCTTTCTGTCTTGCCCATCGCACAGCATTGCCAGGACCCAGCCTGCTCCCAAAAAGTGGGCACCACTGCATTACAAAACAAAGAGCTGGGCAGTGTTCCTCCAGAGAACCCACAGGATAAGGTGGACATCAAAAAGAAGTAAGGGATTATGAACTCCTGAAAAAGCAGACCTGCAAAGCCCTCTGTTTAGGAATTCATACACTCAAGTCCAGATAAGAGACACTCACAGAAAAGATTTGAGCAGGCCCCGGCATCTTTAGCCAGGTGATTGGTAACAGCCAGAGCTAGCCTTAAAGACGTGGCGAGGAACCTATTTACATGCCCAAACATCACCCAGTCTCCACAAACTGACGCTGAAGAAGTGGAGGCTTATTAACTGAGAAAGAGTTCAAAATAATCGTGAATGTGTTTAACAAATATGTTGCATGAACAAAATGAACAGTTCCACAGAGAGAAAAATATATGTATTAAAAACAACCAAAATTTCAGAGCTGAGAAGTACAATAACTCACTGGAAGAGTTTGACAGCAAATTAAATCAAGCGAAAGGCAGAATTAGTGTGCTCAGTGGTAGATTGCTTGAAATTATCCAATCAGAAGAGCAAAAAGAAAAACAAAAGAATGAAAAAGGCTTACATGAGTTATAAGACATTGTTAAATAGATGAATATACACATTATACAAATCCTGAGAGGAGAAAGAGTGAAACAGAAAGCTTATTTTTAAAAGTAATGATGATGTAATTTCTCAAATGGAGGAATAGACATCCAGACTTTAAAAGCCCAACATTCTCCAAACAATATGAATCTAGAGGAGTTCACAAGCACCATGTCATAATCAAAGCGTTAAAATCAAAGACAAAGAATTTTGAAAGCAGGCAGAGAAATGTAATTTGTAATATGCAAGGATCTGCCATAAGACCATCACTTGATTTGTCAGCAGAAAACTTGCAAGCCCAGAAGGATTGGGATGAAAAGGAGATTTCTTTCCCCATTTAGGATCCAATTTCTGCCACATAGTAATAGTATCAAGAATTACTAGTAGAAAGACAACACAGGCTCTTTATATCTGAAAACTAAGTAGTGCGTTTTGTTCATTGTGTTTTTAAAGGTTGAAGTGTCCAAGTTTGAAGCTTTGGAAGAAGTTAGTGCTGAACTGAAGCTCAAACAGTTGCTCTGGGATTCCTTATCAGACTGGGGTAAACTTCAGCAAGAATGGTCACAGGTACAGCACAAGCTCTCACTTCGTAAAATTTCCATAAATCTTGAAATCCTCATGATATGTATTATAATTATAATTATTATATTTTAGCAAGCTGGTGTGTTCCTGATGCCAGCAAAACACGTGGTTGTGACTTTATGGGAATCTGTATGTGCTTTCCAGCAAGGTGCAAAAGGTCCTTCTGTCGCTAACTGCCACAGAGCAGAGAGTGTCCTTGTAAGCCAGGGTTCTTGACTCCACTGTTTCAAAGGCTGTGATGGAAGCGTCATAGGGTAATGACACAGGACATCTAGCCGCTTAGTGGCTTTGCAACACAATGTCATAATACACACCAGTGTTCTTGAGGATTCCAGGATTTTATGATTGACACATCTGAGGTTTCCATTTTTGTTGTCCTTTAGAAAGGAAGCCATTGTGTGCACTCGAGTAACAATAGCATAATAAATTAAGATCTTCTTGAGAGTTCAGCAGCAAACCCCACTTTTCCTTGTTTTATTATTTCCCTTTATTAGTGACGTGTGCAGCACATCATGCTCACACTCCTGAGGGAGGTTGGCGCATGGACTCGACACACCTGAGTCCCTTGTTTCACCCCTTTCCCTCCCTCCATTTGCCCCTCCCATCCCTCGATCCCCATCTTTTTTTGGTACATGTTTGCAGTATGCAATGTTTACACTCGTAGTGTAGGGGTTTCACGTGTATATAACTCATCCCAATTCCTTTTTTCCATTCTCTGCCTCCATCTCTTGATCCTGTTCCCCACCATGAAGGATCTGTCTCTCTACTTCATACTATCTATCTTCCTTTTACTCTGGGTTTTTCATATAAGAGAAACAAAGCAATATTTGAACTTGTGTGTATGATTTATTTCCTTAACATATAGTATCAAAGTATGTCCATTTTCCTACAGATGACTCAAGTCTACCCTTCTTTATGGCAGAGTAGTACTCCATAGTGTACAGATACCACATTTTTTTATCCATCCATCTGTTTACAGATATGTAAGCCACTTTCAAGATTTGGCTGTTATGAGTTGTGCTTCTATAAATATGGGTGTGCATGTAACTCTGTAATATGATGTCCTTGATTCTTTCAGATACTAGAAGAAGAGTAGCTGAGTCAAATGGAATTTCTCTCTTAACTAGGGAGCCAAGTACCAACAGCCACCATAGAGTTTGGTTTGAGGGTCTGCTCTTTTATTTAAATCTTAACCAATACCAACTATAGGGGGAAGGTAGATGGCCACTTACACTTTCAAATGTAAAATGAATGTGTTAAATATGCCATCAAATTCACAAATATTATTCTGTACATCTGTCATCCTTCCTGTGCTTACTCCTCTAATTGGAAACCACATGACTGGGTAAAAAGCCAGAGCTGTAGGGAATATTTCACAGACAGCACTCTAGGTGCTAGTAAATGCAGTTGCGAACAAGGGCAAAGCCCAAACCCTTACAGAACCCACCTTTTGATGTAAGAAATAGAAAACAAACAAATATATGATGTAATACCAGAAAATTTGAAATGTCCTGTAATTCTGTATTTCTCATATATTGAAGTGAAAAATATTCTTGAGAAGTAAAGAAGCAGCTTAGAACATTTTCTAATTATCACCATAGATTAGAACAGTGGCTTCCAAAGCTAGGTGCAGTCATCCTAGGAAATGCATAGGAAAACCCACTAAGAAGCAGAGGAAAATGTTGAATCCAGATGAAAAATTTTAAATATAAGTTTGTAAGAGTTTTGCTGCCCTCAGTTCATATGATCAACATATTAATAAATGTATGCATTTATATGTCTATGTAACTGAGAAATACAATTAAAGATATAGTGTGTATTAGGAAAGTGTCTTGAAAACATTTGCATTACATGTATTAGTTGAAATTTCTAGTTAGCAAGAGTAAAAAATAGCTATTTCTTTGGGAGGCTACAAGTACTGACCCTCAGGAATAAATTCCAAGGATTACAAACAATACTGCATTTGCTGATTAAGGACATAAACACCTGGAAAAAATAAACAGATGATATGTATATACTATTAGCAATTTTAATAAGTGAAACTATTTGTAAATAAGTAAGCTATATAGAGTTCATTTGGATTATCAATTCAAGTCCTAGAAAAATTCAAGTATTGTAAAACTTTTTGTATTACTTCAAGCTTGGTTCTTATCATGGTTTTAACTGTTTTTTTTTTTTTTTCTTAACAGTCCAAATTTGACTGCCTGGATACAGAAGTCCTGAACAGCCAGGTTTCCAAATATGCGAAATTTGTGACTCAATTAGAAAAAGGCTTGCCACCCAACAATGTCGTGCCCCAGCTCAAAAGCAACGTGGAAAAAATGAAAGAAAAGGTAAGATTGGCAGAAATTCTTTTAAAACCTCCAAGCTAATGAGTTATCAATCAATACTAACAAGACCAGAGTCAGCATACCCTGTTTATGTTGCTCTGCTTTACAGAGGAGAGAGAAAGGTCAGACTCTTTCCTCAGTATCACAGACTCCATCCCTGTCTTTAGCTGGCTGAGTCATGAAATCAAATTCCTTGTTTAGAGAAGAATTCAGAGTAACAGCTTGTCAAGGAGCCGGGGAAATCGTGCAGACATAGTCTGCAGTTGTGCTGAGACACTGACCCGCTCAGCCCGTGGGCAGCCCTGGCCCGGCAGCCTTGTCCTTGGTTTCCCTGTACCCGAGGACTTAGGCTTTTCCCGCCACAGGTGAGCTGACTCTTTGAAAGGTGAGGGTGGCTCTTTGAAACCATCACTGCTAAATCAGTGCTTAAATTAATAAGAAAAGAAAAATTATTTTATCCTTTCAGAAGTTTTAGGTATTTTTTTAAAAGATAAAGAATAAAAGGGAGACACAGGCAAGAAAAGTAAGCAAAACTTCAGGTACAATGAGCAGAAAGTTTGCACACTTGATCATGTTTTGCTTGCATTATTTAATTGAAACTCTTTCCCAAAGTTACACAAGCCAGCTTCTTTCTTTCCTAGTTATGTCATTCAGTTGTAAACAAATGCATTCATCATGTCTGCATTCTATCTCGTGTTTCCTTGAAATACAATACAACTTGCACACAATAAAAATCACTTTTGTAGTACACACCCAGTGGGTTTTACAAATGGGTAGAATCACATATCCAACACAATACCATACAGCTTCATATTATTACAAGAGTCAGTAGTTTCTTTTTGTTGTTGAGTAAATAGTACTCAGTTACATAGACTGTTTATATATCCATTCACCTGCTGAAAGATGTCTGGTTCCTTCTAGTTTTTAGTGATTATCAAGGAGGCTGCTATAAACATTCACAAGCAACTTTTTGTGTGAGCATGAGTTATCATTTTGCATGAATAAATAGCTAGAAGTTTGTTGCTAGGTTGTACTGTAGGTGTGTGTTAAATTTTATATGAAGTTACTAGTTTGGCTTCCCACCAATAATGTATGAGAATTCCCATTTCGTATCATTCTTACCAGCTGTGGTTGTTGTGCGAGAGCTTGTTTTACTTTGTTTTAATTTTAGCCATTCTAATAGATATATAATAATCTCTCATAATGATCATGATTTGCATTTTTCCAGTGACCAATGATGTTGAGCATCTTTTCATCTTCTGTTTGCCGTGTATCTACGTTCTTTAATGAAATGTCAGTTTGGATCTTTTGCCTATTTTTAATTGGGTTGTTTGCTTTGCTATAATTGTTTTAAAATTAGCCATGTTTTCTGAACATAAAAGGTTTTTTCAAATACATAACTTAAAAAGGTTTTCTACTAGTTAGCGACTTGCTTTTTAATCCCTGTGCAGTGACTTTCACAGAACAAAAGTTTTAATTTGGGTAAAACACAAGAGGCAGCGAAGTTGATGGAGCTGTCCCCAACCCTGAGAGAGGAACTACCTTCTCTGAAGGCTTCAAATACCTCACTCCAAGATCCTTTTGACTTGAGGGGTTGTGCTGAAAAGTATGCTGTAGTTCTGATGGGCTTTGATAGGGAGACAATTCAAGGCTTATACATGGGGGAGGAACAAAGATGGCGGATAGATAACAACTGGCTACAGAAGCTCCCTGCGATAGTCAACTTAGAATTCAACATAATACAGCACGGGGAGCCCCAAACAGAGGAAGATGAATTCTCTCATCCCAAGAAGAAATTAAGGTGACTTGCTGACCATCTGAGGTCCCGCTGTGACTGGCTGAGGTCCCGCTGCAACTTGCCAGGGTCCCACCATGACGTGCCTACCCTTCCGAGGTCCCACCACTTCAACTCACTGGAGGTGCAGTTACATTGAGTTCAGGGGTCAGCAACTCACTGGAGGCGCAGTTGCATTGAGCTCGGGGGTCAGCAAGCTGAATGGAGGGCTGAGTTGGCAGGGTGCCTACATCAACCTGTGGTGAGTGGCAGGAGTGGAGCCATTCCATAAATAAGGGGGCTCCAGCAAACAACATTCTGGGATGGGGCAGACTGGCAAGTACAAGGGGCAGCAGTGACTTCAGTCAGTATCCCTTTCCCAAACAGGATTGGTGGAGTGTGCTAGGCCTGGGTCATGTGACCCGGCTGAGATCCAATAGGTTGTCCGAGGTCAAGTCCCTGCAGCAGTGGTGCACACTAACCACACTGGCCCAGTGGGGCCTCGGAGGTTTGGCTGGTCTGGAGGGGAGGCAGCGCAAAGTAATACAGTACTACAGGCCACAGCAGCTTGACTGATCTGGAGGGGAGGGGCCAGCATATGCTGTTCCTGTCTGTAACTCACTGGCACACTGCAGTGTGAAGGGTCATCTATCCAGCGAGTTTCAGAAGAATTGTAACCAACAAAGAAAGAAACAAGAAACTGGCACCTCCTGGAAGAAGCAAAAAAGATGGGAAGAGGAAGCAGCAACAAAATGTCTCCAGGCCCCAGCCCTGAGAACATTGACCCAGGACAGTAAATAGAAAGGAGAATGAGAGCAGCAAACATGCAATATCAGACACATGCCAGTGGACATAAAGAGATATATTCCAGACCTCATAGACGAGTTCAAAAGTGAAACATTTAGCCAAATAAAGTAAGATATAAGAAGACTAATTAAAGAGATACTAAGCACCCCTCAAGCACACACAGATGGAAGAAGGGAGGAACTCAAACAAAGGAGAGAACCATTTGGTGAAGAATATAAAAAAAAAAATAGAATACGTGAAGCAGATTCAAAGAGATCACCAGGAAATTAAAAACTCTATAGAAAGATGGCAGATCGGCTTGAAAGAAACTAAGGATAGATTATCCAAACTGGGGGACAATTTTTCAATGTGGGAGTATGAAAGGGAAAACTTTTTAAAAATAACAAGGAATCAAGCAGTAACAATACAAAGGCTAGAAGATGACAAAAGGATCTATAATTTGAGAATAAAGAATATAAATGAAGAAGATAAAATACAAACAAAGGAACTACAAAGGCTATTCACAGAAATAATCAAGGAAAACTTCCTAAACATAGGACAAGGAAATGATATTCTGATATATGAGGCATACAGAACTCCAGCCACCTACAACCAAAACAGAGCTACACCCAAGCATATAATAATCAAGATCCCAGAAATTCAATATAAGAACAGAATATTAAAAGCTGTCAGAGACAAGAAACAGATAACCTATAGAGGAAGGCCCATCAGAATAATGGCAGACTTCTCTACACAAACCATCAAGTCAAGAAGAGCCTGGAGTGAAATATTCCAAGCCCTAAAAGAAAATAACCTCCATCCCAGATTGATATACCCTGCTAAACTGTCTCTAGAAATTAATGGAGAAACAAGATGCTTCCAAGACAAAGAGGAACTTGGGAAACTGGCAACCACCAGTCCAACTCTACAGAGATTATGCAGGGCATTCTAGAGAGAGAGAAAAGTACTAGGATTCCAGGAACAGTGGCAGAGAGGCCTCAATGAATGGAGCAGAAAACAGAAGGAAGAAGATAAGCAGACAACTGATGAAAAAAAAAAGAGCATAACAGAAATGAGACAGAGAAGATTTTATTCAAAACTGATATGAATGATAGTATTAAGTCTGAGAGTATAAGCAACTACACTGAAGATGACAAGACTCTACGATACACCTTCTGGTTTGATAACTGCTGGTTTTTGAAATTCTATACTATATACAAAGTTGTTTTTTTAATAATACTGTTATGTACTGATATATTCAATTATACTATGTCTGATGATATATCCAATTCTACTGGAGATGACAGGAGACAACATAGGAACCATGGTAAAACTCTTTGTACAATGGTCTTATATGTTGATTTTGTTTCATGTGTTTATAGGAATATGTTTTGTTTTGCCTTGCTTAGTTTTATAGAAACAAACCCTAGAGAACCCTCTAATATAAAAAGGATAGAAATACATATTAAGACTCATGCATGTGTAGAATCTATAAACAGTTTATGAGAACTGATCGTGTGACACATAATGAAATGAACAGATAGTTTGAAGAAAAAGAGACACTAAAATACCCAGTGCTGATCCGGGAGTGTCATAATGTGAAACCCAGCAATAGTATTATTCTTTGTTCAGAGTGATATTAGCCTGCTTGGGTTTATTCAATCTCAACATAATTGAAGAGATGGATAACTGCATGTTTAAGTGTATAGGATTGAAAACCACATTTCTAAGTTTTTGTTGGATAGTTGAACAGAACTGGTTGCAATCTCACTGTGTGAATCCCCACTTTATAACCTCCACTTTAGTATCTTTAATAACTATTTGTAAGAAGACAATCTATAATCATCAACTAGTGATTTTTTACTGTTCATTTGTTTCTTTGAAATTATGAATTATTTCTACCTGTTTTCTGTTTTGTTTAGTCTTTCTTTAAATTAAATTTTTAAAAAAGACACTACAGTACCCACTGCTGATCACGGAGTGTCATGATGTAAAATCCAGCAATACTATTATTCTTTGCTCAGAATGATTTTAGCCTGCTTTAGTTTGTTTAATCTAAACATAAATGAAGATATGGATAACTGCATGTTTGTTTAAGTGTATAGGGTTGACAACAGTGTTACTAAGTTTTTGTTGGACAGTTGAACAGAACTGTTTGCAGTCTCGCTGTTTGAATTCCCACTTTACATGTTCCATCTTTGTATCTTGAACAACTATTTGTAAAACGACAATATGTAAACATCAACTAGTGATTTCTTACTGTTTATTTTTTTCTCTGAACGTATGTATTATTTCTACCTATTTTCTGTTTTGTTTAGTCTTTCTTTAAATAAATTTTTTTTAAAAGCTTAAAAAATTTTGGGTAAAACACAATTTAGAACTCTTCTTTTGTAAGTCAAACCTTTAGTTTAGTACCCAAGCATTTTTTGCCAAACCAGAGAAAACACATACATTTTCTTGCTAGGTTTTAGTACATGATATATTTGGAATTAATTTTTCATAAAACATATAGTGTGTGACAAGTTTTTACATGTGTATATCCAACTTGCTCAGCAATATTTGAAAGGACTATTCTTTCTCCATTGCAGCCCCTTTGCAAAAGTCATCTGTTTAGTCTGTTTCTGGACTCTGTCCTGTTTACAGTTCTATAGGTCTCTTTTTTGTCAGTAGCACATTTTATAGATTAGTATAACTAATAAATATTGAAATCAAGTAGTGTAAGTCTTCTATTTTTTTGTTCTTCCTTTTTACAGTTGCTTTGTCTAATTCATTGTCTTTCCATATACATTTTAGAGTTAGTTTATTGCTGTCTACAAAAAAATTCCTAGGGTTGTTGTTGGAATTGTTTTAAACCAACAAAATAATTTGAGCAAAACTGACATCTCAAAAAGGTTGAGTTTTCCAATCTATTACAAGCGTCTATCACCATTTGGTTAGGTCTTCACTGATTTCTTTTGTTTGGAGTTTTAGAGTTTTCAGTGTAACAATTCTGCAGTATAGACATATACTGTTAAAAATCTACATGGTAGATTTTTTGAATTCCTATTGTTCATTGCTGGTGTAGAGAAATACTACTCACTTTTGCTTATAGGTGTTACATCTTGTGACTTTGGTTAAACTCATTTTTAATTTTAAAATTCTTTTTGCACATTCTTTGGAAACATTTGTGTTAAAAACCATGCTCTCTGTGAAGATAGAGAGTGGTTCACTAGTTATCTAGATTTAGGGGGAGATGACAATTAGTAGGGAGAATATTCTGATTTGAGGTACAAAAATGACCTAAGTTTGATTGTGGTTGTTCTTGTACAACTCTGTGGTTGTTCAAATGTACAACTCTGTCTGTGCTAGTGTCTATTGAATCTTACATTTTAAGTTTATAAATTGCATGGTGTGCAGATTTTTGGTTCAATAAAGTTGTCTTATTTTTTTTAAATGTTATCTGTGAATAAAGACATTTTGTTTCTTCCTTCATAATCAGTATAGTTTTTATCTCTTATTTCTTCTATTTTTCTAGCCAAGATTTCTTGTACGGTATTAGTAGTGGTAATAAAAGAAGACATCCTTTCATTTTTCTGAAATTAGAAAAACTCCATTGTCTTAGTTCCTTTTTACTGGTCACTGAGACAAATACTTGATGCCCAAAGTTGGGAAAGGAAAGGTTTATTTCTTACAGTTTTTGGAGATTTCAGTCCAGACTCATTTGGCTCCAAAACAGGGTGGCATGGCAGGGCCGCAGTTTATGACAGCTGCAAACAGCAAGGCAGAAACTGGCAAGAGAGAGAGACACACCTTCTTCCTGCCATAACATCACATCCTGGCTCCACCCCTAGGCCAGTATAGCACTCACACCCCAGTGCAAGCGCTAGACAATGAACCAGTCACAAATGTGTGATGCAAAGGCATGAGGCTTTGGGGCCACAGACATAAACCATGACATCCATCTCTTTTTAGGTATGATGTTAGTTGAAATTTCATTAAAGATGCTTTATATTAATATAAGAAATTTTTATTCTTAGTTTGCTGAAAGTTTTTTTTATATAAGTGTTGAATGTTACCAAATGATTTTGTGTCTATAGTGATATGCTTTTTCTTCTTTAGTTTATTAATTGGTGGATTATATTTATCAATTTTCAGATGTTGAACCAAGCTTAAATTCTTGGAATGAATCCAGTTGAGTTATGATATAAAGCCTGGACTCGATTTACTAGAATATTTTGTGCCTATATTCATGAGGGACCTATTTATAGTTTTCCTATATAATAGTTGTATGATTTTAGTAATAAAGTAGCTCTACCTCATAAAATAATAAATGTTTCCTTTGCTTCTATTTTATGGAAGATATTTTATAGAATTAGTGCTATTTACTCCTAAAACATTTGGTACGATTAACCAAAGACTTACCTGTGCTTGAATTTTCCTATTTTTGGAAGGATAAAACTACAAAATCAAATTTCTTTAACACATATTGAATTATAGGGGTCACCTATTTCTTTTTCAGGGGAGTTTACAAGTTATGTCTTTCATGAAAATAGTCCATTTCATCTTAGTTATTGAATTTATGGAAAAATAGTTGATCCCAGTATTCCTTTATGTCTTTCAAAAGTATGTGGAATCAATACTGATGTACCCTCTTTAATTTCTGATAGATTGGTAATTTGTGTCTTTTCTCTATGTTCCTTGGCTTATATTGCTACAGATTGATTAATCTATTTGATCTTTTCAAATAGTCAGCTTTTGATTAATTGACTTTTTAGCCTGTTTTTCTGTATTTCATTTCACTTATTTCTTCTCTAATCTTTATTGTGTCCTTCGTACTTTAGATTTAATTTTTGTTTCTTTAAAATTTCTTAAGATAGAATCCTAGATACCTGGTTTGAATTTTTTCTTCTTTTCTACTCTATATATTTAATACTACAACCAGCTTAACCATTGCTGAACCACACATTTTAATTTATTTTAATTTTATTTCAAAATACATTTTAATATCCTTTGAGACATTGGAAATTAGAAATGCATTGTTTATTATTAAAATTCTGGGATTTGATAGATGTCTTTCTATTATTGATTTATTGAAATAAAGTAAATTGTATTACAGTTCAAAAATATACTTTATAATTTTTATCCTTTTTAATTTTTTAAGACTTGTTCTGTGATTGAGAATATGGTCAACTTTGGTGAATCTTGCATACATACTTGTGAGAAATGGTCATTCTATTATTCACTAGCAGTCATTCTGTAAATGTTAAGTAGGCCAAGGTGGCATTGATCAGGTCATCTCTACCCTTGCCGATGTTCTGCCCACTTGTTTAGTAGTGACTCAGGGAGAAGTGCTGACATTTCTAACGATGCTTGTGAATTTTCAGAAAATCTCTTTTTCTTTCTCACTATGGTCCATTTTCCAGTTATGCATAAATATCTGCAATAGTTATCGTCAGTTCCTTCAGATGACAGTATCCCTACACATCACAGATTTTGTTCCCTCGGGGAACACAGAGAAATGGGTTGCTTAGAGTTCCAATAACAGCCATGGCTGCCCTCCACCAGTCGCACCATAAGGCTAGCTCGCCTGGGATTCTTTATAACCTTCCTTGTCAGCACCCCTGTATTGTAGCCCTGAGGACTTTACTTCCTTATACTCTCCTACAATCTTTAGTAATTTTTTGACTTTAACTGAAACTTCTTACAAGCTTATCTGTAATCCTAGAGAATCTTTTCCAGGTAAGCAAATTCTCAGTTCCTGTTTCATTCTATGAAGAAACTTGTGAGTACCAGTTTTCCCCCAAATTTTGAATCAGTTGCTCTAAAAAATTCAGTTTTCTAACAGGTTACAAAAAAGTCATTGATTTGTAATTTCTCCAAATTATTCTTTGTTTTAAAGGTAAACATGGTCCTTTTTTCTGCTCTCTACATATACATCTACAAAGTCTTGGGTTATGTTCTCTTTAAGATAAAAGCATGATGTCTCAGAGTATTTGTTTTCCAGCTTCCAGTCATCATAGACTTGAGGAACCCAACTTTGAAGCCTAGACATTGGGCAGCGATTGAACAGACCATTGACGCCTCCTTGGTGGACTCGGAAATTCCATTAACCTTGGAGAGGCTCTCTGAATTGCATGTGTTTGAATATGGCCAAGAAATCCAGGACATATCTGGACAGGCTTCTGGAGAAGCTGCTTTAGAAATAATTCTTAAAAAGGTAAATCTGAAAAATACGTACTTATTCTAGACATTAGGGACTCAAAGGATTTCAGATCAACATGAAAATTACCAGATTTTTTATTATTCATACGCAAGTTTTTTAGCATTGCAGCCTGCATCTTCTCATTAGCAGTCATCTCGTGGTTGTTTCTTTACATTTATTATTACTATTATCATTATCATTGCCTGTATATATCTCTTCTTTCTGCCTGTCTTATAGCCCAATAAGAACTTGATCTGAAATATGCAACAAGGTCTGAAATATGCATGCTTTTTTAAAGGACCACATACCAAGAAAGATCTTTTAAACCAAAATACACTTTTGCAAGGTACAATTGTATGAAATGTTTCCAAATGCATAAATAAGATTTTCCTACTTTTAACACTAACTCTTTACCCTAAAAATGCATTCACAGCCACCAATAACCTACAGGAAAGGAACTTTTTTCTTTTACTCAAAGCATGAAATGACAGGAAATGCACATTAAGTTATCACACTTTACTCACATGCATTAAGATTAATGAAATAAAATTAACCAAATCAATGTCATCTGACCAAGAAAAGGATTTTAAAACTTTTAAAGGCAGTAAGGGGGAAAGTGGGGTTGAGTTTTCACTTATTTCCATTTGCACTTACTGAGTACCTAAGTACGCATGAATTTAGATTTCCTAATTCTTGAATTATTTCTAAGGTGGAGGATTCTTGGAAAACAACTGAATTTGTCGTTCTGCCTCTTCGTGACTCCAAAGACATATTTATCTTGGGCGGCACAGACGACATACAGGTAGGTGACTTCGCCGCTGAATATTTATGGCAAAACTTCCAGACATACCTTCTAAGTCTTCTGTGAGTAACTGAGATGCTGAAGTGAAAAGCAATAGACACTGAACAAGAAAAAAATCTTATTTGGAAGGCAAAATATTAATATAAATAACTGACATGAGTGCTTGTCCATGAGATACTTAGCAAAGCAATAAAAATGACATATTTTTAAGACTTGCAATCCCATGGTTGAAGGATTTATGAAAACACAGAGACAAGTTATGGGCAAAGTGATTAGCAAATTCTTCCTAGATTGACCAAGACAGGCTGGACTCCCAAATTGGCAGCTGAAGGACCTAAAAAAGCATAAAAGGCATTTAAATGAAGCATTTCATATTTTAGCACACTAAGAAGTTAAATTCACCTTAATTGGTTGAGATTATATGGTCATGCTCTATTGACCACAAGATAAATAAAAGCAACGTGTTAAAATATTCTTAGTCACTTAAAACTGGAAAGCACGTTTGTTTAACAAAGGAAGTTGAATGACATACCCTCACTTCCCAGGCAACACTGCAGCCTAAGGGTGTGTCCAGGCCAGAATTGGAAATCAAATGGCTTTTCCAGGTGTAGGTGGGAAGAGCGAGACCAGATATCACTCTGGGTAGTGAATGGAGAACAAATCCCAAGTCAAAAGCAGTCGATAAGCTGGGAGTGGTGGTACACGTCTGTAATCCCAGCACTTGGGAGGCTGAGGCAGGATAATCGTTTTAAGGATCGAGACCAGCGTGGGCTACAAAGTGAGGCCCAGGCCAGCTGGTCCAGCATAGTGAGACCCTGTCTCAAAAAGACAAAAAAATAAAATAAAATAAGATAAAATAAGAAAAAGAATAGTCAACATGAAGTCAAATGATGAGATTTCTGCTAAGAGGAAGTAAAAGAAGTAAGATGTGTTATGTGCATGTACCAGTGCCCCACAAGAAATATAATCACCATGTACTGCAAACATGTACTAATAATTATTTGTAATCTTAAATTTATTTTTGTGTGTTTGCAGTATATAACATCCACATTCCTTGTGCGGAGTTGGTACATATACATAACACATCTTAATTCCTGTTTTCATCTCTTTTCTTCCTTTCCTTTCCCCTCCCTCCATCTCTTGATCCCTTTCCCATTTGAGAAAGATCTATTTCCCTATACCTTAGTAACTCCCTTTTATTTTACTCTTTATTTTATATTCTCATATAATAGAAATCATGCAATATTTAAATTTGAGTCTGAATTATTTCATTTAACATGATGGTTTCAAGGTGCATCCATTTTCTTATACATAACTCAAGTTTATGTTTCTTTATGGCAGAGTAGAAGAGGATCAAGAGATGGATGGAGGGGGGAGAAGGGAAGGAAAGGGGATGAAAAAAGGGATTAAAATGGGCTATGCACAGTACCAACTCCCCATATATAATGCAGATTTACATTATATACTCAAAACATGTCCTATTAGTAAAAAAAAAAATTTAAAGAATTTTATAGTTGAAGCCAGGTATAGTGGCACATGCAATCCCGGAACTTTGGGAAGCTGAGACAGGAGATCACAGTTTGAGTCCTAGCTCAGCCATTTAGAAAGACCATGTCTCAAAATTAGAAAAAGAAAAGAAAAGAAGTGGGGATGTAGCTCAATATGAAGGTTTTGTATTCAATCTCCACTGCCAAAAAAGAAATTTTACAATTGAAATAGACAACTGAATCTTCCAGACAAATAGACACAGCCTTTAAACTCGCATGTTCTGCAAGAAACGCTGTTTTGTAGAGGGGACAGGACGGAGGAAGATGGTGGGAAGCTGCCTGTATCCATTCAGAGCTTGATACAAATGTGTTGAGTTTCCTCTGCCTTGAGATACTGAGGGAAAGTGATAATTCAATCAACGGCCAGAAAACAGCCACGTGAGGGCGTGGTTGACTAAACTGTATGAAGAAGGTGCCAGTTACCTAATTAGCGAGTGGAAAGAGGAGAACAGTGTTAAACCAAATGGAAATTTATAACATTAATAGTTACAATAGAAGCGGAGATTTGGCAGCGTGCAACACCCAGACAACCGCTGAGAGAGCACCAGGGGATGCCAGACAGCAGAGGGAACAAGCAGGAGATGGACAGGCAGAAGCAATAGCTGGGGCTCCGCTCTATTCACCAAAAGCCAGGTTTCCAAAAGACTCTTGGGACTGACCCTGTGGACATCACTGAGCGCACAAACCCACCTGCTTTCTTCTCCTTTCCTTGAAGGTCCAGCTTGACGACAGCACCATCAACATTGCCACCATTGCCTCGTCCCGGTACGTGGGTCCTCTGAAGACTCGAGTGGATGAGTGGCAAAAACAGCTGGCTCTGTTTAATCAGACTTTGGTGGGTAATTTCATCTCATGGACTCAGAACTGGTGATCCACAAGCCCTTAGAAGTATTTGCTTCAGCTGAGCGTGGTGCCACACGCCAGTAATCCCAGCCCTTGGGAGGCCGAGGCAGGAAGATCATTGTAAATTTGAGACCAGCCTGGGCTACAAAGTAAGCCCAAGGCCAGCCTAAACTGCATAGCAAGACCCTGTCTCAAAAAGACAAACCCCCCCCCCCAAAAAAAAAGATAAAGAAAGGTAGAAATACTTGTCTCATTGTTTAAGCATGGGATAGTTTAGAACTATAAGATTTAACCATTGACATAATTATACAGTTTGATTATATATATATATATATATATATATATATTTTTTTTTTTTGTCTTTTTTCCTTTTTATCAGTACCAGGGATCAAACTCACGACTGCCTGCTTGCAAGGCAGGCACTTATGCCGCTGAGCTAAATCCCCAGCCCCCAGTTTGATTATATTATAATTGCCCTTGTGTTACTATTTTACTGTGAAACAAAATACCACAAACTTAAACAATGCACATTTAAAACACTATAGATTCCACATCTCCCTCTTCCTTGTGTCAGGAGTTGAGACGCAGCAGTACTGGGGTCCTCAGCTAAGATCTAACAAGGTCAGATGTCAGCCAGTTTGGGTTCTCATCAGAGACTCAGCTCAGGAAGGATCCACTTCCAGGCCCACGCGGGTTGTTGCAAGCAATGAGCTCCTCGCAGATCTGGAATGAAAGGCTTCCGTTGCTGCCGTCTCTCAGCTGGAGGCCGTCCTCAGCTCCTGAGCACTGCCCACAGTTTTTCTGCGTATAGATTTCACAACGTGGCCATCTGCTTCCTCAGGCTGGCAAAGGAAGGGAAGCCTCCTGGCAAGGCAGATGTTACAGTCTTACGTAACACAAATGCCATCCTGCGCAGCCTGGTACCTGTGCCACCTTCTGTGTGGCCAGCAGCAAGTCACAGGGGCGCTCACACTCAAGAAGAGCGGATGCCACAGGATATAAGCCTCGCATCGTGGGGCCACCTTAGGCTTCTGCATTTACACACAACCTTGCATTTACTGGAAGAACATTCGCTGGTGCTTCAAGTGTTCGTGGAACCCTTCCTTGTGGCACACACCGCCTCTGTATTCATTCTGCTTCGCACTATCTCACAGCAAGACGAAGAACCCACGCAGGATCTCTTTATTCCCACCCAAACTTTCTCTTAGCAGTCGGGTATTTATCTCGATCTAATTATCCTTAGGCTTCTGCGTGCTCTGCAAAACAATAGCGTCAGTAAGTGGGGAATGATCAATTGTTCCAACCTCGATTCAAAGACAGCTTTCCCTGAAGTGCCCCCTCTTCCATGAACACTGCACAGCTGACCCCTGTCCTACCTCTCAGCTGGTGGCCACGCCCTGTAATTAAGGGAGGGCCTGAAGACCAATGTACACAACACTTATTCCAAGAAGCCTCTGCTGAACAATGAGGACCCTCCAGGGGATTAGTTGTTTAAAAAGTGCGAGACCTGATAACTCCCAAACCCAGCATGAGAAGTGAGAACCCTTCTCTCTGGAATCTTCTTCCCACACCTGGACTCTCAGGAGACACCTTCAGTGGTAGGAAAGAGACCTGTGGACTTCAGTCTCCCCTCTCTTAGTCACAGTCATTGTCTCTAATAGAAGAGGCAATGCATGATTTCTTCACCCTCTCGTCTTCTATATTTACCACTTGTTCCGCAGTGGACAGGTTTTACTCCCCTCCCAATCCTGCACTATTTTTTTTTTATTAAAAAGTGAGAGGAGACTGTAGCTTAATTGACACAAAAGAAAAACAACTTTATCACGATAAGCATATATTATATATATATATATATATTTGGAAATACCAATACTGGCCACTTCCCCAACCCTTCAGATTCTTTTATGAAAGCTTCCTACCGACTCTGAGATTGTCTCCTCTGGGCATTTTAATCATATTTCTTGGGTTCCCAAATAGCAGATTTATTAATAACTGCACTCAGTGGAGAGCCACATGAAATCAGGCTGAAGTGAGGCTTCCCCTGGGACCCAGGACCCAGGAGGAGCCCTAAAACAATTCCCTGTGGGAAAAAAAGAGAGGTTCCCTGTGTGATGATTTTAAAGAAAACCATATGTCTTCAATTTGGCTGTTAAAAATAGATAGTTTCCATGGTTTTTTTTTCCTAGGAAGAATGGCTGACCTGCCAGAGAAACTGGCTTTACCTAGAAAGTATTTTTAATGCTCCGGATATTCAGAGGCAGTTGCCTGCGGAGGCCAAGATGTTTCTTCAGGTGGATAAATCATGGAAAGAAATTATGAGGAAGGTGAACAGACTGCCTAATGCCCTCCGAGCTGCTACTCAACCAGGTAGGAAACAAACTTGCAATGGACAAAATCACCTAAAGTGTCTGTCACTCTTAAGAATGTAATAACAAGTGGTGCGTTTAGTCCTTGATTCTTCTGGTCCTTAGAAGACCACTTGGGCGGCTCCCCTTGAATAAAGAGCAGTTATCTTCATTCTGGCTAAACCCGGTCTTATCTCCATTTCCTTTCCCCTTCACTTGAAGCAACATAAATAGGACTGGCTGAAATGCCGATGCATAATCTGTGAAGCTGGGTGACAGTCACTGTTTCCTCGCCCCGTGACTCCCAGAAACATGGTTGAGCAGGGTGGGATGAAGAGCTATCGCTCCAGGGCTGTCACCTGGGATCAGCCTCAAGAATAAGAGGCTATGACTTCCCACAGTTTATACATCAGAGCTGACACGTTGTTCCTAAAACGTTAGATGCTACCTTAGTTGTGTTATGGAGATTGATCTTTCTTCATACCCTCTCTGTGTATTGCCAAGATGCTTTCAGATCTCCTAGCTGGTCCAGCTTACAATACTCATGTATTTCCCACCATTCTCACAGCCACATCCTTAAACCACTCCCTTATTCACAAATCAATAAAATCCAGGTTGGGCCCTGTTTCGTGGCCTTTGTTCCATGAACCACTGTCTAAGCTGGACTTAGGACCCCTCAGCTCCCCATAACTATAAATATGTGTTAGTGTCCTTATTCTCACTGTAGGTTGCACAGAAGTGGTATATTGACATTAACTTGCTAGAATTCCATAACTTTCCCACGAAATTACAAATATAAACTTCTCAGACTGTGACAAGGACCAGGACAGGCTCTCTATCCTAGTCAGCACTGAGGACTGGAAATATTTACACTTGATACCCTCCCTCGCTAAGCAATGAGGATTGAATATAATGTTATCACTCAAGCTGGTTTGTTCTCTTTGAAACACAAGATTCTGCCTCTTTTTGATGTTCTTACACCTGAGAATGTTGCCACAGGGTTTCAGCGATATTTCCAATGTCACAACTTAGACTAAAAGACATATTTATATTCAGTTGAGCCATCCTGGGAAAGAAACCTGCAGGAAAGAAGAAGTGGAAAATGTGTGTGGATGTAAGGAAGAACTGTGAAGGTCAGAGAGAGGAAAAGTCAGAGCTCCCGGGGTCGGAACACACTTTGCATGCGCGGAAGTCAGGGCAGGCTGGAGTGCAGTGCGCAAGGGGACAGTGTAGGAAGCGTGGCCACACGTTGGGAGTGCTTGGGTGGGCGATGGGCACTGGATGGGGCTGCTGATTACAAAGAGCCCTGGAGGTCCCAGTGAAGACTGCATCTGAGGCTTGGGCGAGTGAGGAAGCAGCCACTGTGATAAGCACAGAAACTACAGAGGTGAACAAATCACGAGTTTTGTTCCTTAAAGAGCTATAATTCCAGGAATAGAGAAGTGGTCTCCCATTGCCATAATTTTGACAATTAAAGATGGCAAAGACACAAAAATGATGCGTATAAGAAAATGACGATGAGGCAGGAGGACACAGAGACTGGCTTTGTTTCAAGGGCCAAGGAAACAGCAAATGCTCAGTTTTTGTTTGTGTACTCCTGGCCCCCTAGAAGGGGAGGATGCCGGATAAGAATATTCTGAGTTAAATATAATTCTTCAGACATGGTAAATATTAAAATTAATGTTATCATTAAAAATAATAGTTAAAATTCTTAGCCAAATACCTCCAATTTTATTAACCCAGTCTTTCTTCCAGTAAAACTAAATATTTTTGGTTGTTTTTGGTTTTTGAGACAAGTTTTGCTCCATAATTCAGAATGGTGTTGAACTCACTGTGTAGCCCAGGCTGGCCTTGAACTCACAGTGATCCTTCTGCCTCAATGTCCCCAGTTCTGGCATTATAGACGTGCACCACCATACCCAGCTAAAAGCTTCTAAAATATTAATTTACTATTATATCTTATTTTTACTTGAAATTATATTCTCTATTTTAATAGTTTTATGAATCCTATTTTCATATAAACAGGGCTTCTGGAGACTTTTCAAAACAATAATGCATTACTTGACCAAATTCAGAAATGTCTTGAAGCGTATTTAGAATCAAAAAGAGTTATCTTTCCAAGGTAAGTTTATAAAGCAACCGAAGATATATCATAGTAATTTACACTTAATTAATTGAGGTTGTGATTATAATCTCAAAACATCAGACAATTAGGGAGGGAAACAAGGAAGTTCTATGATGGTAAAAAGGCAGCCAATACCTTGATTAGGGAGTGTACATCTCAAAACAAAAATACAACAGAGTAGGCTGCATCCGAGCATCCTTCCTATATTGTGGCTATTTACCACTTACAACTTTATTTTTATTAGTACACATTTGCAGGACATAATGATTACATCCATTTTGGGAAGGTGGTACACATGTGTAACACGTGCTCATTTTCATTCTGAAACATATGGCTCCTGTAAGATGAGTGTGCCTGGATCCACAAGCATGTACGCAAGAAGTTGGAGAGACTTGTGTTACCTCAGTGGTTTTCTTTAGGTTGCCTGGTAGGGATACGTAATAAGCTCTTTGAGATACTTAGGTCTGAAGAGAATAATGTTCACTGTTCCTCGTGGGAGCAGAGAGAACCGTTAACTCGTCTACCCACCTCATAAAAATCTTCTATCTCCAGCTCTCCAGCCTCTCCAGCTCCAACATCTTTGTTTCCTCAAGTCACTGAGGTCCCTAGAATCTTCACCCCTCTCTTGAATGGGTCTCAGGAGATCCAGTAGCTAATTTTGGGATTTATGCATAACCAACAATCTGATTCTAGAACTTGAGAAGGAAACAGGAGCATTTTTACATCTAGTTGCATTATCTTAGCAGAGTTTGGTCAGAAATAAAGAGCCAGTCTGGGTATTTAGAATTAAAGTTTTATACAGAGAATTAGCTTCTGTTAAGCTTCTGGAGATGGCCATAGATTGATTCTAGCACTTGTTTATATTAGGGTTAGGGTTAGGGTTAGAGTTAGGGTTCCATCTCTAGAAACAGCAGTAGAAGGAGAGAACTGAGGGCCACTCTGAGGAAACCCAGAAGTATAGATAGGTCTCCTGGAAATTACAACCTAGTCTCAGCTCTGTGCAACAAAGCAGGGGTGCATAATCCAAAGGACACATGATCTCCCATTGCAAAGCCACACCTTCTTTGGTCCACCCATGCTGAGTGGGAGGAGTATGGCATCTGCTCCCCTTGCACCTCTGCAGTCTCATGTAAAAACATTTCAGGGAAGAATCCAATCTGAAGCCTTGCTGCAAGGAGAGTCTGAGAAATGTCATCCTTGGTCCTTCTGCTGCAGCTGTTTTGCTAAACAGACAACCAGCAAGCCAGTCATTTACCAAATACTGGGGTGTACACTTGATCCTTGGGAATCTGAGAGAGATTGGAAGGCAGTAGTGAAAAAGGACCGTTAGTCACTGGGAAAAAAGTGAAAACCTTTGAATTGAACCATAATCATTAGTTGCTCTGGCCTATAGAGTAAGCTATGAGAATAGGTTAGGATGATAAATCAAACTCCATTAGAGAGACTAAATATAACACAGAATACATATTACATGAAAATGACAATTTGAAGAACATTTTCAGTTATGTAGTGCAGAAATCAACCATTTTTTATGAAAATGACAATTTGAAGAACATTTTCAGTTATGTAGTGCAGAAATCAACCATTTTTTTTAATAAAAGGCCCTAGAGTAACTATGTAAGGCTTTGCAAGCTATAAAGTCTGTCATAGCTAATCAGTTCTTCTACAGTAGCCCAAAAAGAGCCACTGATGGTATATTTGCATGCCCATGTGACCATAAATCTTTATTTACAAAATAAGTGATGGAGCAGATGTAGTTTATGGGCTGTGACTTGCCAATGCCCAATCTATAGCAAAACATTATTATGTAAGTTCACGAATTTCCTTACCCATCTTTCTGGTACTGATATTAAAATACATACAGTGTTTTATTTCTGCTTCTGAATAGTCCTCATGTAGCTAGAAATGATATGTTGACAGAATTGTATTCCACCACTTTTCACAGTAGACCATGCTGCTAGAAATAGCATGTGCCTTTGGGTTGGGACAGCCGCCCAGTGTACACTACAGAACCAAATCAGGTTCCTACAACAGTTCATCCATAAATTATCTGTTCAATAAATAATATATTGAGCACTCTGCATGTGTGGGTTACTAGGCATGATTCTAGGGAGCCCATGTAATATATCTTCACTCTAGGACCTCAGAGCCAAGTAAAGATAGATGTGAACAAAGCAATATCACAGCAGGAGCTAGCACTGTCTATAATTTTTTGTGCAAACTTTTATGTACTAGCTACTAATTCTAGGTGTTTGAGACAGATCATCACTAATCTTCACAGCAAACTTAGTTAGAGAACTATGGTCTCCCCAGAAACACAGAACTAGTACAAATGGAAAACCAAGAAATCAGTGGGTGAGAGCAGGTGTGGCTAAGGAATTTATCTTTTATATCTACCCGAGGCTCCATTCTGAGCTGTATTTTAAGGATTCTCTTTAATCCAGATTTTACTTCCTGTCAAACGATGAACTTCTGGAGATTCTGGCGCAGACACGAAACCCGCAGGCTGTGCAGCCGCACCTGAGGAAATGTTTCGACTCCATCTCAAAGCTGGAGTTTGCTCTCATGCCTCCTACTGAAGGGAAAATTCCTGGCATTGACACAGAGCCAGAAAAGGTTTATACCAATGATATTCTGGCCATGCTGTCACCAGAGGGAGAAAGGGTAAGGTGGTGTTGTTTATAATTCCTCACAGATAAACTGCGTCACTCTCCCAGTATTGGGTAAAGACTAGTTATCCTCCCTGTGAGCATGCCAGGCATTCTGCTAGTTCAGCAGTTTCAAGGAACACCAAGATAAAACGCTTGCCCTGAAAAAGCTCAAAAGCTGGTGGAGAAATCATCAGACAATTAAAATCATTACAGTAAATACAGTGGCAGATGCATGCTCTGCTCTTGGAAACAGAGCAGAGGAAACTGGAACCATGTCTTACCCAAGCATGCACAAGAGGCACCCTAGCAGGCTGGCTAAGAGTGCCTCTGCCACCTGGATTCAATCTCCTCTGTAGTGAGGCTAGTCATGTGCGAGCCTCATGGGCTGATGAGGGTTTTTGGCGGTTACTTTATGTCAATTAGAGCAGAACCTTGGAAATCCATGTAAGTGACAGTTACTGGTAGTGTCTTCTCCAGGGCCCTGCACAGGGAAGACACAGAGAGCGAGTGAATTGATAGACTGGGGGGAGCCAAGTGACTACACAGAGGACACACACACACACACACACACACACACACACACACACAGAATCAAAGGAGGTGAAAAGGAGAATCTGCCGTGTGATCCTGAGCTGATAGAGTGGTCCAGGCAGAGGAACTGAACCCTAAGGAACAGGTCCAGTTACAGCCCAGCAGTGTAACTATGGGGTTAGTGGGAACCTTGAGCATATTTCTGTCCTGAATTGATTCTTTTGCAGAAGGCAAAGAGGAAAGATCAAGCCTCAAGAAAACATGAAATTTAAACTTTAAAGCTAAAGAATAGATGAAAAAGACCAAAACAAGCAGGGCAGTCAAGTCTTTGGAGTATAAGAAATAAAGAAAAATACTGAAAAGTGTCCGTCAGCCTTTTCAGTTGGGACAAGGGAGGACACGCTCATGTTTAATGAGAAGAGGTTTACGGGAATGAGTTTGGGGTAAAAATCAGATGGCAGCAAATGCAAACATAAAAGTAACTTATGAAATTCATTTAGCATTTATAGACTCCTCTTCCAAACAGTTGGTCCCAAGAAGAAGTAAAGTAAATTAAAGTTAGTGGGGTAGGCTCAGCTTTAATGGAATAGCTATAGAATATCTTTAGAAGGTTCCAGTATCTGTGGTCAGGCATCTGCCTTTACAGATCACAGGCTTCTGTCACAAAAACATAGATGTACAGCTTATGAGTCTCACAGCCGCCATTTTGATCACGACTCTGACTGCCTCCTCTAGGTCAGCTTGGGCAAAGGCCTGAAGGCCCGAGGCAATGTGGAAGACTGGCTTGGTAAAGTGGAGGAAGCTATGTTCACGTCCCTGCGTCGCCTGTGCAAAGCTGCCATCGCTGACTATCAAGGGAAACCGAGGACAGATTGGGTGATTGCTGGTCACCCTTCTCAAGTAAAGAATGCGTGAAATTTCACTTCTTCACTTTCCTTGGTGAGATGCATCATGTACTTAAAGACCATGGTTTTTGTTTTTGTTTTTGTTTTCAGGTTATCCTGACCATTTCTCAAATTATGTGGTGCCGAGATTTGACTGAGTGTCTAGAAACAGAAGACAATAACCATGTAGAGGCCCTAGAAGCTTTTGAAAAAGTAAATTTTGAGGTGAGATTTTTTTAACAGAAGTTTGCAGTGTAGAATCATTTTGTTTCTGAAATTCTAATGCTCTGTCATTGAGTTATCTCAAAGCTTTGGAGGTCTCACTAAAACCATTTGTGTTCAAATGGTTTCCTAAGGATATGACCTTTGTGTTTGTTTAGAGTTGAAATGAACAGTTACAAAAAACAGAAGGCAAAACAACTCAAGAAGGAAACATCAGGATTGTAACGGTTTGCATCTCATAAGGCTTAATTTATTAGGCCCGAGATACCTCTCCTAGAAGTGTATCTGGAAAACCTCAGGATTTGTGCCATTTCTAGGCTCAAATGTGCTTTTCCATTACAGAATAATCAACCAACTATCAGTAAAGCAATAAGTAATTGAAAGAATCTACCATTCTATAAAAACTTTTTAGCTTCAGCTGGGAAATGCTGTTTTACAGCTAAGCCTAGTCTACTGGTTTAAAATTTTAAAGCGTACAATATAGCACTGTTAATGATAAGCACAGTGTTCTGCAGAGCATTCTCAAACCCGTTCAGCACATGCAACTGAAACTTTCTGTCCTCTGTGAACAACTTCCCATTTCCCTCTCTCCCCCACCCCTGACAGCCACCATTCTACTCTGCTTGTATGGTCAGCTTTAGATAAGTCATGTGAGAAGAATCAGACAATATTTATACTTCTGTGACTGGCTCATTTCCTTCATTAAAGTCCTCCACATTTACCCATGTCTTAGCATAGGAAAGGATTTTTTAAAGCTGAATAATATTCCATTGTATGTGTGCACCAAATTTTTTTTACACATTGATGGACTTTTAGATTATTTCTACCTCTTGGCTATTTTGAATCATGTTGCTATTAATATAAGAGTGCAGATATCACCACAAGATCCTGATTTCAGCTCTTTAATATGTGTTCCCAGGGGTGGGCTTGCTGAGTCATGTTCTGAAAACTCTCTGTACCATTTGCCGTGGTAACTGCACTATTTTGCACTCCCAAAAGCTGTGTACAAACATTCCCTTTTCTCTACCTTCTTGCCAACTCTTGGTATTTTTGATTAATGAGCATCCTGACAGATATGAGATGACATCCCATTGTGGTTTTTTATTTTTATTTCAGTGATTATTAGTGATGCACATGTCTTTCCCTATACCTTTTGGTCATTTGTAGGTCTTCCTTGGAGAAATGTCTATTCAAGTCGTTCATGTTTTTTTAAATTGGGTTACTTGGTCTTTTGCTGTTTTGTTGCAGAATACATTAGACCCTTATCTTAAACCATATTGCAAAAATCAACTGAGGGTGGATTAAGGATTTAACTATGAAACTCCAGGTAGAAACAGAGGGGAAAAGTTTTATGACCTTTGCATTGATTTCTTGGGCATGATACAAAAGTATAAGCAACAGAAGCAAAAATAAGCAAGTAGAACTGCACCAAATTGAAAAACTTTTGTATGGCAAAGAAAGAATTAATGGAGTGAAAAGGCAACCTAAGTAACAAGGAAAAGTAATTGCAAACCACCTATGTGATAAGACAGACCTAATCTCAAATTCAGTTATACTCCCAAATAACACTGCATTTTAAAGATTTACCTTTAAAACAGAAAAAGGAGATAATTTTCTACCAATAAGAAAAAACATTCTCATGATGCTCTTAGTGGGATTTCATCTCCACAGCTTCAGAAAAGAAAATGAGTCCCTCAATCCAGTTCCACTGACCTCTATGCAATGGGCCAGCCCTGGCTTAGGTGAATATTCAGCACAAAGGTGCATGACCCTCAGGGCACCACTCTCCTCTGAGAAAGATTTAACGACTTATGTGAAAGCTAAAAAATGTTTTCATTTAATCAGCCATTGTCCTGGTTAAAATGTTCAGGTTTTCTGATTCTTAGTGGGAAAATCTAGCCTTGAAAATTAAAAGTATCACCTTTAGCGACATTTAACTTTTCAGCAGAACGCTCTTCCCTAGAAACAGCAACACATACTAGATAAAAGCATGGGCTTTCCTTGAATCAAATATCTATTGAAGTTCCCATTTTACCTCTTCATAACTGTGTGACTTCTGTCAAATTACTCAGCCTCTCTGATCTTCAGTTTCTTCAAATGTTAAATAGGAATAAAGAAAATATACTTCATGGACCTCTTATGGGAATTAAGTAAGTAAAAGTATTTTCCTGAAGATTCAACACAGTTGAACAGAGGCAGAGCCATGTTGGAACTACTCAGAGAAAATCAACTAAGAACACAGGTGATAAGAGGACAGGGCAGGCATACATCCTGGCACCAAAATCAATCTGAAATAAGAGACTTGTAGATCAAAGAAAACATAGACATAGGACTTTCCAAAACAGCAGCTCAGCCCACAGGGCGGCAGGTGGCACTGTCGCCTGCACACGGAGCAACACTCACCGTACTCTCACATCTCCAAGACACTAATGGACTGCACAAGTGTGGCCCCCTCAAGCCCAACAGGACAGATCTGGAATACAAGGCCCCTTGCCTCTTTTGCCTTGCTCCACACAGAAGACACAGCAGCCTGGAAGCAAATTTCAGGCACTGCTTCCTCTCCAGCAGGCCCCAGTGCCCTAACTGGAATCCTATCGACAAGGTTAGGGACCATGAGACTTTCTACCCTGTGACCAGTGAGAGGGACACCCATGGGAGAAGAGATGGAAGCAGCCATGGGCTGAATGAAAAAGTGGGAAAACATAAGCCCTCCTGCCCTGCTGCCAATGGTTTGAGAGAATTTAAGCAACCTTGTGCCGAGGGACAGCAACAAATGGGAGGCTGGTACTCTACCTGTGGCAGAGGAGATCAAAGTGGGACCAGCTCTCTCTGCATCGATGGCAGAGGTAACGACAGCCCACAGCACCCCACCCCATCCTGCCCTATAACAGGTGGTGCAAGAAAACAAAGACATGCCAGTGAAAGGAACAGAGAAGACTGAACTGACAGAGAAGAGGCAGCTGTACACACCAGGAGCAGCCTCGGGCTGTCTGTCTCTGGGCCCCACAGCAGCTGGGAGAGAGACAGAGAAACAGGGTTGTTTTTTCAGGTTGTGTAGGTCTCTACCTTTATTCTTGTGCTGATCCATTCATCTTCTTTCTCTATTTCCTCAACTATTTCTTGATTTTATGGTATTTTCATGTAAGTGAACATTTTCTCTACTCCTTCTGATCTGCTTCAATAATCTTTTTCTTTCTCCTTTACTATCTTTCTTCTGCTCCCTTCTACATTTCTCACAGAGTGGGTGACAATGCTTTGTCCTCATCTTGCTTCTACTATATTCTTTTCATTTATCTCTGTTTTGTCCCTTATCTGCCTTAAATTTACCCACCACAGGGAAAAATCATTCTACTAGAAAAACCTCTTTGCATACAAGTTCCTGAATAATGTTGGATTTTGCTATATAACTGTAGATCTTGCCCCTATGGTCAAAAGTACCAAATTAATGGTTACCATTGCTCATCGGTTTTTAGGCTCTGCTTAATGCTTTTGTTATTGCTAACTGAACTACTTTAGCCACGATGTCAGACCTGTTGTAATCAATTGTTCTCCCTTGTATGACAACATTGTGATCGTCTAGGATCTTAACCATCACCATAGTCTAGTACCAAGGACTGGGTGCTAAGCCAAATATCATCCACATATCATCAAGCAACATCTCATCCTTAATAAATTAGTAAGGTAGGATCTTGGGACAGACACAAAGACCAAGAACCACCTACACCTAGAAGATATTGCTGAGAAACAGACATCCCCTAGGGAAACCTTGATACTAGTGACAACTATCTGCATAAAGCTATCTGCTATTAAAAAAAAAAAAAAACACTTGCAAGCATCAACACAGAAAACAAAATAAAATCTAAAAATAGAAAATTACAAGGTGCAAAAAAATACAACCCCAGGCCTTCAGAACACCCAGGACAAATCCGGGGACAAAGAGATAGAAGAAATCAGATGCCATGCATCTTAATTCTTTGGGATGATACCAGCATAAATTTTAAAAATAGGGGTCTGGGAAGATGGCAGAACAGTAAGCAGAAGAGTAAATAGTCTCTCTGAGAGAAACAGTCCAAATGCTGGACTATAGCATTCTGGAGAAGACGAGGAGGAAAGAAATGGATCCCCTCAACCCAGGAAGAAACTGACGTGAGAACTGAAGCCCACTGAGAGAATAAAAAAAAGAAAAAGAAAAACTTAAACAGAAGAAGGCAGTAGCTGGCAGCACTTTCACTGGAGCCAGAACCACCATGCCAGAAGTGCTGTTGGAACCCAGAGATGCATGGGCACAGTGAAACTTGTGGCTAGCAAACCTGAAGGCCTTGGCATGGAGACATGGTGGCAGAGGGGAACAGCAGACCAGAGAACTGCACTGGCTGGCAGTGAGTGTGGGGAACTCAGTCCTCCCATGGGAGTGGAAGATTGGCTAGGCACCATTTTGGAGTTGGGCAGGATAAGCCTGGAGACAGAATTGCAGCTGGCTTCATTCAGCCACTCCTAGCTCAGAACAGACTGGTGGAAATTGCTCAGACTGAGTTCTACCCCTCTACGCAATCCAATAGCCACTGCCAAGGTTTCCCTAAAGCTATCCCTAACCAACCCCACCCACCTGGCACACACTAACATAGTGAAGACTCCCTGTGGATATCCAGTCAGAAGGGAGGGGCCAACCTGCCCCACCCCTGGTTACACTCCAGTAGCCACCAACAGACTGGGGAAAGCACCTAACAGCAGAAATCCCTAGCTAACAGACTTCAGAGTAATTATAACCAATACAGGAAGTGCCAGGGAACCCGCTACTCACTTGTTCAGAAGAAATCAGCAACATGACAAAAGGAAGAAGCAAAAGGCAGTCTGTAGCCTCCAACCTAATCAGTACTGGCCCAGGCGATGTAAAGACAGAAGAAATCAGGAGTTGTACACCTGCAGTTTCTGAAGCAACAGAAACTGAAATAAGCAACTCTAAAAGAACTTAGAACAGGAATACTATTAAAGGTAAAAGAAGA